TGACACTCAGCCATTTTTCTGTAGTAAATGCTCCTTGGGTTTCTACAAGACTGGCTGATTTCCAAAGTTTTGAGAAAGTGGAATCTGGAAGTGTTTCCTGTTTTTTTTTTTAATTTGGTTTTTAATGAAGCTACAGAACTTCAGAGGTCCTTATTCTGTCACTTTCTCTGAAATCACCCTGTTATGAATTAAAAACTGGTGGTCAACTTAACACCTGCTGAATTAAATAAGCATGGTGCTGAGTGTAGATGGTCCACCTGAGGAAAGTTGCCAGTATAAATAGAGATGTGGAGAAGAGTGAGGCATTGTGGGTTTCTGTAAACATTGCTGTTTTAAGCCCTTGGTTCTCCTGAAGAAGCTCTGGTCCTTACATCTGACATTGCTTCCTGGCTCTGGAGGGGAAGATGTGTGCCACTCAATCTCCAGGACAAACTTGTCATGCTGGCTTTCTGACATGTACTCGACTGTTCTTACCGTCAGAGGAGCTCGGGACTTCTCTGTCACTGAGGATAGCTTTTGTGGTTTTCAGGACAGCCTTAGTCTTTATTATGAGCATGACTTCTCAGCTCCAATGCAGAACCCTTAATCTGCCAGCACAGCTCCTTCACACCGCTGACATGGACTTTCTAGCTTTTACTGCTGACCTTTGGGCTTGCCCAACACAGATCCATAAAACAGACTGGTGTTTTTTGAGTCCTTCTTGTGGGCTCTAGACCTCCAGCTGGACTCGTGGGAGACATTGTCATGGGCTCATGCAGGACACTGCTGTGGGATCCAGGCCCTTGGGTGAATATTCCAGGTCTTTAGTGTTATGGACAGATTTCCTGCAATTTCTTGTGTTAACTCTGGGGGACCATCATAAATAATATAAATTCTGTGTCCTGATTCTAATTGTTCTCACAACCCCGGACTACAACACCCTCACATTTCTTGTCCTTGTTCGGCAGGCAATTTGCTTGGGTGGAATCATCTCCAAACGTTGTCGCACATGGGTGTCAGGAGGGCTCTCAGTTCCACTCTGGCCTCAGGGATCTGGAGTCTGCCACATGCACAGTTCAGGTGCTTCCCTTCTATCGCCGTTTTAGTCTACTCTGAGTTGCTGTAACTAAAATACCAGAGTGGGCGCCTTAAACAGCAACTCATTGGTCACAGTTCGGCCAGCAGGTTCGGATTTTAGGGATGGCTTTTTAGTCACAGGCAGCTGTTTTCTTGCTATGTTCTTTCATGGCAAAGTGAGTGAAGGAGTTGGGGGAGGAGTCTCTTATGAGGGCACTAATTTCACATCCCAGGGCCCCACCTTTGTGACCTTACCACCTTCCAAAGGAGCAACATCATACTACTATCACTTGGGGCGTACGGATTTTAATATATGGGTTTAGGTGGAATGGTTAGCATTCAGTCCATTCCAGTCTTCTTCAGGAATTCCCTTTTTATTTTCAGCCATTGTGCTGCTTCTGATCTCCTCTAATTCTTCAAATTGGAAAACAGCAACTTTCTCGTCTGTTTGAACTCCTTGTTTGACGCACATAAAGGCCACAGTGGTGGGAAATTCAACCAGTTTCCTTCCCCAAGCATTGAGTTCGCTCCAGACTCCCTGTACTTTGTCTTCCTCCAACCTCTTCAGGCAGCCGTTACTCTGATTTTGTCCAGGGTTGTCATCTGTGGGAAGGGTTAGTCCAGCAGAAGAAGGCGCTTCTCCACTTTTGGAACTTAAATCTCCAGTTGGATTGTATAAGAATAATTCATTACTTCAAGAGCAAGTGTACAGCTAGTGAAAAGGCTACCTCATTCATTGTCCTCTCTTTGTTTTTTGAGACAGGGTCTCACTATGTAGTTCAGGTTGGTCCTGAACTCACTAAGTAGCTCTGGCTGACCTTGAACTGTGGCGATCCTCCTATGTCAGCCTCTTGAGAGCTGGGATTACAGGCAAGTGTCACCATGGCCGGCTCACTCTTTTTAATATAATTATCTAGGATAATTATTTGGACAGAGACACATCAATGCCCAAATTTTCTCTTTTAAAAAAGGAAGAGTATGGAATTGCATATTTAACTTTCAATAGTGTTGAAACAAAAGACTGCTACTAATGCTGGACTCTGCTGTACTCCTAGGAAATCTCCATATATCAAATCAAGCAGCAGAGAATTTTATGTAGTGACAAAAATTTGGAGGCTGCCAGGCATGGTGGTTCATGCTTGTAATCCCCACTCAGGAGCCTGAGGCAGGAGGATTGCTGCAGAGTAAAGGCCACCCTGGGTTAAAAAGTGAGTTCAAGACTATCCTGAACTATGTAATGAGACCAAAAAAAAAAAAAAAAAAAGAGGCTAACTGGAAAGGCAATCAATAGTTATGTGAAAAAATGTAACATGGGGTAACCAAAGCAAACAAACTGTATCTCAAGTCTCACATGTAGTCTACCCCTCTTATGGAAAGTTTTAAAAACATTTTTCTTTTTTTATGCCTGGGGATTGAACCCAGAGATTTGTGCCTGCTAGGTAAGTGTTCTGTCACTGAGCAACATCCCAGTCCTTAAAGTTTTAGTTTAATATCTAAAAGTTATAATATTTAATGCTTTAATTTTTTTAGTCCTTAGAGTCTTTTAAAGACATCTGCTAAGTAAAAGTATAGCTATACAACTTCCAAGAGCAAGAAGTGGGGTTGAAATGCTGCAATCAGAACTCTTCAGAGATGTTACTTTGATACCACCTGCTGGATGATTTCTGAACTTTTCTGGCACATAAACTCAGGGCAGATTCTTACTCTGCAAAACAAACTTTAAAAAGTATTGTCAAAATTAATGACATCTGCATTCAGAATTGGGCCAGCCTATCTTATTGGAATTTGGCTATAAATCCACAACCACTTTAAGAATGTCCCCAGAGCAACTTCCTTTTAACAGGAGGAAATCTATTTTGCATGTTTGAATTTCAAATGGAGTTTGGCTCAGCCGTCTCAGTTGCACTTGACAATTGCTGCAGTATTTTCCACGGGAACCTTAATCTGTGCACCAGGCCCTTTGGATACATTAGTGGAACCCTTAACAAGCAAATCCGGATGTATGGACTTTAGAACGATTCCTGCCACTAACAGATCAGTCTTATTGCTTTGCCTGAAAAGGTGCCCCTGGGAAATTATTTAAATGGAGTCTCAGGTTTCTTAGGAAAAAAAAAACAGCACCTATCTCATTGGCTACTGTGCAAATCCAATGGTTAACAAAATCCTGGACTCTGCAAGAACCTCTATACTCTCTAAATTATCATTGGTTATTACAATAGTCCTTGCTTTACCTCTAGGACTCTCTCTCTGCAGGCTAAGAGAATGTTGAGAAGGAAATGTCCTGTTTCTCCTGCTTAAGGCAAGATGGGATTACTGTTCACCTTAGAAAATTAGGATGCAGAAAGGCAGACATATTAAAGCCTCCCAGTTCACTGGCCCTAAACACCCTGGCAGGGGTTCCTGCTCCTATGTCCACCAGGCGCTGGCCACTGACACCGCGCCTGCTTGCGGTCTGATGTAGCCGTGTGACTAAGCCCTGCGGAGGGACTGTGTGCATGCCAGCCACACCAGGCCCGACTCCCCCTAACACTCCAGAAGGGAAAGGACTTCGCCCTCTTTCGGCTGCAGGATGGAAACCAACCTTGGACACGTGTGGGGGCATCCCCCAGGCTCCCACCTGCCCCACACACCTTATGTGACAGCATGGTAACATCTTCCAACCTTAGCTTCATGAGACTGGGACCGAGCTGTGTCCACGCCACGGCAGAACCTCCACAGCACTAACCTGAGCGCCGCGGGGTTCACTGCCATCCATTCCTTCTCCATTTTGTCTTTATATAGATACCCCTGCACCTTTCTCATACAGACCTTCCTGTTACAATAAATTCTTCATAGTAATTTAATGCCTGCATATTCCATAAGGTGGTTAAACTTCACTCATTATTCTATCTTTAACTCTAATTTTATTGGTAATGTAACAAACATTTTTGTACAGAAATCTTATTCTGTATTTTGAGTTATCTTTTAAAATGTCACAAAAGACAGAACCCAACTCAACAAAACAATGAAAACAATATAGGACTTCAAGACTATAGAGAATCAGCAATGGCTGTGACCTCAGAAGGAGATCCCTAGATGCCACACTGCATACCACTATCCTCTCAACAGATGAGCAGACCACTGACCCTAGACCAAACCATTGCATTTCACCTCCATAGCTAACATCATCATCACACCCTGTTTCCCTGATCAGCTGGCCACATACGGTGGGGCGTGGGTGTTGGTATTTCTTGTTTGCCAGCCTGCACACTAGAAGGGGCTGAGGTCTGCCCACTGGGTTGGGTTTTATTCTTTTGTTTTATGTTATGTGTGTGATGGCATGGGCAGCTATTTCAAAGATAGCAAGATATATTATGGTAGCCATTTTGGATTTACTATTGTCTTATTTTGAAGTCCTTTATGGCCTTCATTGTTTTTGTTTCTATTCTGTTCTATTGTTTGATTTTTACTTTATCTGAGGGTATCTATAGCTATTTTGGACATGGCAGGCGCGTTGTAACTATTGTTGATTCCATAATGTTTTGAGGTCCTGTATTGCATGTACTGGTTTATTTTGATTGGTTTTATTCTGTTTTATTTTCCTTGGTTTTATCCTCTTTAAATAAAAAAATGTCACCAACAATGACATTACTCACAGTAGTTACAAATGTATTGTTGAATTTCCTTGCACAAAGACTGACTCAATTATATTACCAACTGTCAGGAACATGCTCATTCTGTCAGACTTTGATAGCCAAGGGATTCTACAAACACATATACTGGTACAGACTTAGACTAACGGTATTTTAAATCTTCTGCTCTTAATACTTATGTTAGATGCTTCTGTCCCACTGACCACACCCTCCCTCTAAAGAATGTCACCTCTTACAGTCTCCCACAGGAGTATGTATTTCCTGCGGGCTTTCATGACCTAGCAGTAGTCATCAAGAATCAATAATCCAAAATCTCACAAAGCATTTTATTAAAAGTAAAACAAATATTAAGGCACAAAAATACATCACTTTTTCAAAAAAATCATTCAAAGAAACTTATTCTAAATTATAATTTAGCCTTCTTAAATAAAAAATACAACTTTTTAAGTCACTATATTTTCTCTTCAAATAAGTGTTTTCCTGATTCTAAAGTGTAATGTAGTACTGAGTTCCTATGTTATAATATATACTTTTAAATTCTACTTCTGTTACCTATATATACATTTGGTATGTTCACAACTTTAACCATTTGTTAGACTTATTTCTCCTAAGGATAAGGCCTGGTGTTTGTATTGCTTCCTGCATGCTGTTGATCATACAAAGACAAGAGGACCAGAACTAGATACATAAATCTAGCAAACAGCTCTCCACCTTAATAGTGTAGAGCTTGTGAAACAGACCCAAGGCTCTTTCGAAGAATATAAAGATCAACATCATATATACATTTTAATACTTTCAGTACTGACATTATAGGAGTGCAAACATATGTACTGTAATACAGATAGCAAAACTGGTATTCTATAGTATATGACAAATAAAATTATTTTCTTTACAGGAAAAGTATGAGAATATCTTAACATCTCTGAGATTTAAAACAGTCATCTACTTTTCCTTAATTCTGAAATAAACTGTGCTTCAAAGAAAATATTAATCTAAATGAATTATGAAATTTCCTCTTAAGCAAACTTCACACATTATATAAATCTAACACAGACTGGAGGACAAGAATGCTTAAGCATTCTGCCTAAACACACGTAACACTGGACCTGTACCCTCAAAGCCTGCAGCAGTAGGGAGGCCCACCCTGGTGAGCTGCCATGAGCACCTGGATCACAGGTCTGGAAAGCCCACACCGAGGCGGGCAGCTCACGTTCTGCAGGTGGCCTGCAGCAGTGGTGCTGGAGCAGTGTTCTGTTTACACGTAGGGCTATGAAGGCTGAGAGGAACACTCAGCTCAAGTCCTCAGACCTCAGCAGGTGACACAAAACAAGGCAAGCACAAGCCCTTCTAAGACCATTTCCGAGGAGGTGACTAGGAGACCCTGCTTTCCTTGGAAAGAGAGAAGGGTGGCATTTTGGCTGGCAGCTATCACACAGGTAACCTCATTTATCTTCCCATGGCTGAGAGCAGTTTTTAAACACTGCTGAGGTTCTGACAGGCAGCTTCCCTTAGCATCACCCATGCAATCAACCCTCATCCCCACCCCACTAAATCCATAGCCCCTGCGGCCACAAGCCTGGGGCTCCACACTGAGCAGAGCTGGGGCTGGACATGTTCCAACTACAGGGTTGGAGGATCAGACAAAGAAGCCAGCGGGCGCCTCTGGCCTAAAACAGCGGGGTGAGAGGCAGAAAATGTCCAAACGAGCACCGACACACGGCTGGGCAGGAGCGGACAGGCGGGGACCACTGTCGGGAATGGAACCCAAACTGCTAGGGAGACAACTTTCTCCCGGCAAGCCTGGCCCAGGGCAACGGCGTCCGGAGAACCAGGTCTACCTTTCCCCAGAGCCACTCCCAGCCCTGGCCAGATGTTCACTACGGAAAACACATCTGCAAGTAGTTTTCATGAGTCATTACCACTAGAAATAAAGCTTTACTAACTTCATTAAACATGCAAGTAAATAACCAAAAAAGTAGGCTTCAGGAAGAAAGTAAATAATTAAGTTTTGTAGATTCACAGGGAAAAAATTATATTTTAAGTGTTCAATAGCTTATGATTTTGTTTTGTCAAAAATTCTCTAGAATCGCACTCAACTCCTTCAGAGAAAGCCAAAGAAGGTTCCTCCCATCCTTAGGTTCGAATGCCCACCAGTCCCATGTCTTTGGTCACAAAAGCAGCAAAACATTCACATTTTCGTACTACATTCACCTGCCTTTCAAGTTTACAAAGGTATGAATTTTTAAAAAGATACAAGAGCAAAAAATTTCAAATCACAAATTACAAAATACTGTAACAAAATAAGTTGTAAAAACATGGTTGGAAATTACTAAATTACAAATTAACTGTGATGTACTACTGTGCAGTTAAATATATGTCTTTATTACTTAACGGAAAACACCAAGATGACATAAATGACAGTTCTGGTTTCCACAAGGCTCACCAAGGGTGGAGGTCCCTCCTGGCTGAGGGGGACCTGAGGGGAGCCATGCAGCCCCGGCAGTTGCAGCAGCAACAGTAGCAACACACGTACCCACAGCCCAGAGGTGGGGACCACGGCAGAGCAGGTCTCTGGATGTGACCTGCAAGACTGCTCTGCGTGTACACGTGTGTCCCCTGAGTTGGAGAAGCCCTCACTCCCCAATCCTGTGTGCACAGCAGTATTTACAGACAAGGGCACTGTGCAGACCACCCAGGAAAGGCAAATGAAGCGTAAACAAGCTGAGGTTCCAGAGTTACGTCCCATCAGGACAAAAGCCAAAGGACATGATCTTTGCATCTGGTGTCTACAAATCTCTAAGACAGAGACACTGACACACTGCAGAAGAATCACACTGTCATCTAGCTCAGCTGAGTGGGAAGGATGGCAGGCCTGTTTATGTAAGTGTTTTAAAATCCTGGAATTGTCATGTTTTCTAGAGGAGATAGACAGAACCCGAATGCATGGCCAGCCGCTGCCGATTAGCAAGCACCTTGCGTCTGTCTCCACTTTTCTCAGATTCTTTCCAAATCCAGGCAGCTCAATGGACATTAAACTGACAATTTAAAGTCAGCTTCAAGGGTACTGCAGAACCTCCCCCCGAATTCTTCACTTTAGTACATAGATTTCCAGGGTAACATAGTAAGATCTTACTATGCTATGAGAAAATAAAGCTTTCTCAGGCCTCAGGAAAGACAGTCCTTTACCGTGAACTTGGTTTCATTTATACACGGTCCAATCACATTATCTTTTCTGAAGAGAACATTTTTTCAGCCATTTCAGATCTGGTCATAATTTCCTACAAGGGAAAAAAAAGGAGAGGGGGAGAGGGGAGGAGAGAGAGGGAGAGAGATGTGAAAATGTGGATACTGCTCCAGGAATCTTAAGACTCTCCAGCGCGAGGCAGAGCTGGAGCCAGGGTGGCTCTCTGAGGTGCAGTTATCCAGGAATTCATCTCACTTAATTAATGTATTTCCGAAATCTTAACCAGTTATTTATCAGACGAGTGATTTAAATGCTTCTTTGAAAGCACTCCTAGGGCATGGCTTCTTGGAGTTACAAATCCTTAAGTGTGATGCTGCTATCCTGCTGCAGGCAAATCTCACTTCCCCGCTTCCCTTCCCGCGAGCACAGCTCCAGCCGCTCTCCCCTGAGTCACCCCATTCGGTTAGGACTTCTCCCTGCCCTGGGCTACCCTTCAATGTTCAACTAACCCATATTTTAAAACAATTTTCCAAGTCATATTTAACATACGCAAATGAGACAAAACACCCCAGCAAACATCTCCAAGTATCAGACATTAAACTGCTGCCCTCAAATCTGCTCAACTCTTACCCATATAGGAAAATCTTAGAAAACCACTAAAAATAAATAATCCTTTCACACCAACAAGCATTTACCTTGCTTCTGATGGAAACCAGGACTTTACCCAATAATCCTTTCCATTTTATCAGTATCCTTTCATCTGCTCAATTAATAATCATTCAAAAGATAACTTTCAGAATCTCTTTCCTCATGAAAAAACAGCTCTAAAGAAATAAGCAAAATATTTTACCTCATCTGAATCCACTAACACTGGAAGAGCTCTGAAATAAAAAGAAGAAAAGTGACAATGTTAGCAAAAGCGAGGCCAGGGAACCTTGCTGATTATAGGACTATCCCACGGCCCAGCAGTTCTCATTCCTGGACAGACACAGTGGACAGAAGGAAACGCCCAGGCCACTCCCAGACACAGGGAAGAATTTCCACATGGCAGTGCTCTTAACAGACCTGAACTGAAAACAAGCCAGCTGAATACACCCGGTTATATTCATACAATGGGATACTACACAGCTGAGAAAACCAGCCAGCTACCGGGGAATACAAGTTTAAAAACAACAGAATCTACAGTCATAAGCATCAGGATGGCAGGACCTTGGGAAACTGGGCCCCTGTCTGACAGGAAGACTAGGTTTCTGGGCATTAGCAATGTTCTCCTTTTCCTCTGGGTGCTAATCACACTAATGTATTCATTTTACCTGTTTAACAAGCTATACACTTATTTAGAATATGTGCACTTCCAAAAAAGAACGCCTTTAAAAATGCTCCAGACTTAAATTCCAAAATGGAAACAGACAGCATACAGTCAGCAAGCCTACATCCTTAGTGATGGGGAAGCGATGGTCCAGGTTTGCTACCACTGACCACAAGAGGAATAACAATGACTAAAAACATATGAATGAATAATCAGAAACACAATGGCTCTCCAATTGTATTTACTTTTTAATTCCAAGTTAATTATCCTTTGATAGCTGGGTAACTATGTGCGTGGTGATTTGCCACTTAATTAAAAACTCCACATGCCACATGCTTCTAGGAAAATTTCAGAGGGACAAGTAAACACTTCTTAGAAGGAGGTATTTACAGAGCCAGGCACTTGTTTAGCTCCTGTTTCATGATTCCGCTGCCTGGATGTCGGGGGGATGAGGGGCATGTGACATAATCTTTGCTTGGGAAGGAAAATACTGCTAAGTCGACACACATATGACAATATTCCAGAAAGCTTCATCCAGCTTCAGTGTACCACAGAGCTGTGAGGAGGAGAGCCTGAGGGAAAAGTCTCCACTCACAGCTACGGAGTCATGAAGGATACGCTGGACATGTTCAAGCGAAAGGCAGTCAAGGTTTCTATACCCAGCAGAGCTCACCTTTGAAATGGAGAGCAAAATAAATACATTCTCACATAAACGAAACAATTTGTTGGAAAATTTACGCTACAAGGAATACTGAAGAACTATTTATGGGAGAAAGCTCTTTGCTCAGATGTGCAGAAAGGAAAGGAGAAACACTAACATACAGACACATATAAAAGAACATGTACATGTACTTTCTGTTACAAGACTGAAGTGTAATAGCGCATTGTTAGTCTCAGTTCCTACTCTGCACAGCCTTGATGTGTACAAATTTTAGTTACCACACTTTAAATAAATAATACCAGTCTCTCTACAAGACAGTTCAAGTTCCAGTTACTCAAAAGCACAGTGAGATATTGCTTCATGGCCACTGAACAGATAAAAAGGGTGGACAATCACAAGTGCCAGCAAGAATATATGTAAATTAGAATCTTTACATATTACTAGAAATAAAGCAGCTGCTTTGGAAAAGAGTTCAGCACTTCCTCAAAATGCTGGAACAGAGTTACATCAACTGCACTTCCAGGCACATAGCCACGAGAAATGAAAAGATACGCATGTGCACGTTCATGTGCACACACGCCCTTAGAATCATCACATTCATAGTGATGAAAATAAAAAGGGGAAAATCTTGAAGTGAGCCAATCAACCACCCACATAAGTCAAAGCCCACATAACTTATGAGAGGGTCAGAGAACTAAAGTAGATTTTTTTCTGGAACTCTGAATGTGAGAAGACATTTAAGTAACAATCTCTGAAAGTAAAAAAAAAAACAAAACAAAAAAACAAAAACAAACCAACCAGGAATTATATACCCAGCAAAAATATCTTTCAAAAACAGTGAAGGTAGGGGGCTGGGGATTTAGCTCAGCGGCATAAGCACCTGCCTTGCAAGCAGGCAGTCGTGAGTTCCATCCCTGGTACCAATAAAAATGAAAAAGACAAAAAAAACCAAAAACAAAACAAAACAAAAAAAACAGTGAAGGAAAGACTTTTTCTGACAAGTCTGAAGCTCATCTCCAGTATTTTTGCATTAGAAGAAAAACTCTTCAGGTAAAAGAAGTATCAGATAGAAACTGTCTAATAGCAGCCAGATGGAAGCAGGGAAAGGAAAGAATATATTCCAATTGTCTTTAATGTGGAAACAGCTACCTGGAATTCTTGTCAAACAAGAAAGAGAGAAAGAGAAATCTGAGTAATTCAAAATTCCCAGAGGAGATTCCTACAAACTATTTTTCCTATGTTCACAGGGTTCCTCCAAAAGCTTCCCCATGCAAAAACAAAGCAAAATAAAACAAAAACCTCCCCCGACAATACGTGATATTATGGCTATGTGTGTATGTGTTTTAAAGTTTTACATGTTTGACCTTTTCCATCTTCTAAAATTAAAACAATGATCTTGCTAACTATGAATCAGCAAAGGCTAGTCTGTTATAAGCCGTTTAAAGCAGTCCCACAATGACAAGGACAAAAAGCCTGAGCCACTGGTTGGTGTTTGGTGGCTTCATCACTGGTGGGGGGCTGCAAGAACACAGAGGTGTGAGGTCTGAAAAGCACAGTGCCAGTGTGAGCGCTACCCCTTAACAGCCTGCAGTTAGGCTTTAACAGAGGATACTTACACATCTGTGAATGAAGAGGGAATATTTTCTTCAACCCATTTCAAATCTTCATCCTGTAGAAATAAATATTTACATTTAGCATATGCTTCACATCACTTGAAAGTAGAATTTTTAGTAGGATGCATATGATATTTAAGTAGTGACATTAGAGTGTTTGACATTCTTTTACTTGCTACACACTGTGTCCCATAGAAACTATGCCATGGTCGCATAAATGGGCAAACTACAAATTAACTTCAGACTTCCATACTTTTGGCTTTAGCTGAATGCATAGCTGTTATTATTTTGTCTCACAAACCACAGCAGAAACAGTGTCCAAGCACAGCTGATAATTTCTTGTCCTTAGAAGCCATACTAAACACACAGTATGCTTGTAAGCTTGTAAGTTCAGAAATAACAACACTGATCTGTATTGAGTTTTTGCTTCTCTGAAATTATTATGCCTCCTAACTTGCTCAAGTTCTTACTAAGTTTATGACTTTTCAAGAGAAAAGGATGATGGTACAAATACAGTGGATCTTGAGTTACAATGGGCCTGGTGTACGAACAACTGGGGTTATGACCGAAATTTCAGCCTTAACTTACACCCCAAGTCTGGAGTTATTTCCCGAATGCTGGCAGCTTGTGCTTCCAGATGGTCCCCGATACAGATTTAAGCCTTAAATGGTTCTACAAGAGATGTGATAGCAGCCTTCCCTGCGTGCGGTTAACTGAGAAATCCTGGGCTAGTGTCTCCCTGAGGACCCTGTGATCTGCCTGTGTACACGAGTGAGGCTTTGAGGGCTGAAGAGGAGCCTGAGCTTTCAACTGATATCTTGGGTCCCAGTTGGCCCTCAGGGATGAGTTCGCAGGTCAGGGCTCCACTGTCATCTAGCTTTATCAAAGCCCATTTGTTTTTATCACTTGTTTTTATACTCATATCCCTTAGGAGATAGGAAAAGCACAGCAGGTCAGCTGGGGTACCTACATTCTTCTTTCCTAAAGAAAGTTGTCTACAGTGATTTCACTGAGTAAAGAAAAAGTAAAAAGTATAGTGAGTTTTTCCGTTTGAAGCATAAGTCAAAATTTTTCTCTGTTGCTTATCTGGCTACATGGAATGTTCTAGTCCTAGTAGTAAACACATTTTGCCTACCTACAAAGGAATCCCCATATCTAAGGGAACTTCAGGTTTAATGAGCAATAAACTCCTCAACTTCTGATCAATTAAATACTAAGTGCAGCTAGAGAAATAAAAAATTATTTCCTTGATGTGTTTGCAAATAATAGGCTTCAAAATAAATTGAGCTATATGACTAAGAGAAAAACACCTAGTAAGTAATAATAACAATAATTAGTAATAACTAGTATTGCAGTACTGGGGATTAAATATACAGCCTCATATATGTTTGAAAAATACTTATAGGATGAATATTCCTTATCCAGAATGTTTGCGGCCAAGTGTTTTAGATTTTAAAATATCTACATACACATGATGAGTTAATTTAGAGATAGGACCCAAACCTAAGTACATATTTCACCTATGACGCACGAGCATTGCATACACATTGCCTGAAGGTTATTTTACATGGTATTTGTAAAATAATTTTATACATAGTTTTGTACAAAGTTTCACAGTGTGTACTTTTCTACTTGTGGTGTCATGTTAACATATAAAATTTTTCAAATTTGGGAACATTTTGAATTTTTTGCATTAGGGATGCTCAAACTGTAGTTCTAAGACCAGACAAACAAAACTATAACAATATTTTCAAAAGTTTAATTAAATTACCATGAAGCTATTGAAGATCACATTTTAAAGAATTACTGGGGCTGGGGATTTAGCTCTGCAGCATAAGCGCCTGCCTTGTAAGCAGGCAGTAGTGAGTTCGATCCCCGGAACCGATAAAAAGGAAAAAGACAAAAAAAAAAAAAAAAAAAAAAAAAAAGAATTACTACCAAAAATTGAAGAATTATTAAATCCAATACAGAACAGTGCTTTCTTTATCATTTGTCCTGTAATCTATTGGTCCAGTCAGAACTTACACATATATATAACTTCTCACAGGATATAATTAGTAGTCTCTATGACTGTTGAGAGAGCAGAGTATTAAACTTCATGACATCCCATTCTGCTTTACCTTCATAGCCATTACTTTTATACATAAATGATATGTATGAAATATTTAAAATGCCTCCTTGGCCTGTATTTTACAATTTCATTCATGCTTTCACTGTTTAAGGAAAAAAATCTGTTGACTTTGCTAATTGTACAGGTGACACATGAAGTCTTTGATCCAAAAGATAACACATGTAATTTACAATGGTCACAAAAATCGCTCAGTTTACGGAGAAGTTGGCATACAGATCCTACTGCGACAGGGCTGGGCCAGGTCCAGGGCTCGGCCTCTAACAGAGGGTGCCCACATATGGGACACACACAGCTTACTACACGATAAAGACTGAGACTCCAGTAAATGCATACTATACTCACAAAGTTATCGGAAGTAGAAGGTTTCGCTGTTCCATTGGAAACTGTTTTTGAGGCTCTTAATTTTATTCCTTCAGCTGAAATGAGAAACAGAAATCTTAAAAAGATTTAAAAATAATATTTTCCTTTATAATTCCAAATTTAATAATCCATTGAGGAAAACAACAACTGTTTTTTTCCTAAAGAACAGTTAGTTGTGAAAGCTTTGAGCAGGGTGTTAGCTTCAAAATGGAAATGTAGGAAGGAGGCATGGAAAGAGCTAACTGATTTTTTAAAATGACACATAATTTTACGCAATGTTTTTATAATTAAATCAGGGTTTTCAGGTGTTTAATGCTTTAAACATTTATCGTTCCTGTGTGCTGAGGACGTTAAAGCCCTGTCTCCCAGCTATCTGGAAATATGAGACAAACTTGCTAACTATAGTCACCTGCCATGCTACAAAATGCTAGAACTTCCTCCCCAGGGTCTGACTGGAATGTGTACCTGTTAACCAGCCTTTGCTTATGCTGTCTGACTCCTTCTTCTGGTCTCTGATAGTCACCACCCTATACTCCACATCTATGACATGAACTTTTTTAGTTTCCGCTATGAACGGGACCATGCAATGTTTGTCCTCCTGTGCCTGGCTTATTTCACTTAATGTGATGACACCAAGGTTCAGATTCTGACAAATGTTCATCAGAAGAACTGGGTTTGCAAGTTTGAGACCTAACTCTGCAGAAATTAAACAAACACAGGAATGTACATATTTCCATAGGTTCATTTTAATCTTAAGAATTTAAAAAATCTATAGGATTTGCAATATCAAATTTAAAATTAACATGTTCCTTCCAGTTTGAACTACTGACAGTACATGTATGACTGTACTACTGGTGGCACAAAGGATTCTAATTAGTTTTATCAGTCTTTTCACTATAAAATTAGTGAGAAGCCACTTGAAGGGACAGTGGCTCAAGCTGCCCAGCAGCAAGACATACAAATCATGGTCCCGTTTTGAATGTGTTAAGACACATCCTTAGATATTTTTTACTTCTCTGATGTACAAACTGTATGGACTTAGGGAAGAAAAAGCTGCTCTTTCTGTGTAACCAAGCCTCTTCTTTATGTTGGTGGTGCCAGTGGGGCATCAAGAGCTTGGGCCTAGAACTAACTCACCCCATGCAGACGTCTGGCCCTTCTCATACAATCTTGGGAAAGCAATTAACTTTCTGTGGCTCCACACTGCTAACTACAAAATGAGAATAACAGTAACATCTGCCTCACAGACTACAAAGGTAGCACATAAAGCGCCTGTTACACAATCCATGCCCAGCAAGCATTTACTTCTGTTATTCCAATAATCTGCAAACATTGCTTCTCCATAAACTAGGACAACTGGTATTATTATAAAGGCATCCATAGTGTAAGCTGATATAATGAAACAAGCTGTGATTACTTAATCTAAAAATGTTTCCCCGGGGCACTAAAAATCCCAGTATTTCTTAAGGGGGAACAATATACTAATTTTTGTAAATTGAAGTACTTTTATATAAAGTATTAAATGTTAAGGCACTCACTGAAGAGACCTGACAAGTGTATGTACTCGTATAATTGCCATTCCAGTCAAGGGACTCCACATTTTTAGGGCTGGCCTGTAGGCTCTGTGGTAGAGTGCTTACTTAGTATGCATGGCACAAGGGCCCGGGTTCAATCCCCAACACAGCACAGTGAAACGAAACAAGGTATTCCCCACACCCACAGAACATTCTTCATGTTCCTTTCCAGTCAACCCTCACCCACCAGAAGCAAGCACTGCTGTGATTTAATCACGGAGCATGTTTTGTCTGTTCTAGAACTGCATTCATAGAACCATATTCTAGCTATAGACTCTACAGTCTTTTAAGTTTGGCTGTTTTCCTGCAACATAAAGATTTTTGAGATTAATTCATGTTACAGTAAATTTAATATAAGAACTTCAAAAATACAGTCTTGAGAAATAATATAAGGTTTTCAAAACAGTATTTAGGACTAAATCTCTGTTATGCTCTTCAGGTTAATGGTTATTTTTTTCCTGGCATCTTGTGAATCTTAGTGTTTATCCAGTTCAAGCATTTAGCTAAGATTTGAGCAGCTGTATAATCTCTGGGGTTTCTCCCTCTGCTCTAGGTTTCACTCCTCAATTTCCAGAACACCCAAGCCACAGTCGCCACCTTCTCACTCCTGATGTCGCAGGTCTGCACCTGCCTCCTGGAGCTCCGTGCTAGCACGTCAGGGACAGTGTCCTCAGGATGGAGGCCTGGATGGTGGGGCTGACAAGGGCTGTGCCCTGCTGTAATCCTTGGGCAAATGCCCTCTAGTTTCCACCTACTTTTTGTGGCTCTCCACTGCCGTCCGTTATTATTTTTTTTTTTCAATATTCTGTCTAGAGAGCACCCGAGCCTCCACCTAGCAGGCCTGTCTCACACAATTCACCACATCATTTCTTTAAGCCAGAACCTTCACACACTGAATTTTAATATGTTAACTCTGAACACGTTTTCCAGTTTCCTCACTTCACATGAGTCAGAAAAGCCTGAAGGGTTAGAAGAAGGGGTCATTACCTGACAGGAATAAGCAAGCGGGGAGACATGCTGATTATGCTCTGATACTCTTTTTGCTCACTGGGCAGACTACAACTTTTTCTCGGTATTTTAAACAAGAGGAGAAGCAAAACAAATTATGAAAAATAATGTCAGTACTAAGAGAAACTCAAGTAAGAGGACAAAATTACCCTTCATATCTGAGTTATATACTGATACTGCCTTCAGTTCGATCCCTGGTACCGGTAAAAAAAAAAAAACAAAACATGATGTAGAAATAGGAAAAGTGAAAATAGCACTAAAAGTTGATTAGAAATGCTTTAGGCATGAACAGGAAATTATAGGCATGTGTACTTTTAACACAGCAAGGAGACAATTCACAGAAATTCAGCAGTTACTAAGATGAACATAATTTGCACAATATATCCCAAACCATCCTCAGGAAAAACCACATACCTACTTTAACCCTTCAGAGTAAATGTGCAGCAAAACCACAAACCACATGAACAATCTCAAAAATTTAATCAATGACTTTTCTTTTCTTTTCTTTTCTTTTTTTTATCGGTACCAGGTATTGAACTTACGACTGCCTGCTTGCGAGGCAGGCGCTTATGCCGGCTGAGCTAAATCCCTAGCCCCAATGACTTTTCTTTTTGTTAGTATCTACAGCAATAAAGTAAATGTGCATAATAAAGTAGACACATAAACTCTGTAAAGTTCTGAGAATATTTCATAGAAAAAAACTTAAATGATGTGCATCCCCTGGGGTCACAGGTATTTCTTTGTTACAATATGTACAATGATCATTTAGCAAGAAAACATCTCACTCACTTAAATTTTCAGATGTGACCATGAATTCTTCCACTTCATCATCAGAATCGTCTATTAAGGGCATGAAGGCGTACCTGCACGAACAACAAGGAGCACTTGAACTGGTGTATTTCCACTCATTCAGCCTTCATTTTATATTCAAAACAGTCACTGTACATATTTCAAAGCAAACATTCTTATAAATTAAAAACCTAATTATTTTACTCTCAAATTAGCCAGAACTACTGTGAAAACTATCAAACTGGCACACTCAAATACTGCTAGTAAAAACAAAACAGGGCAAAGTCTTTCTGGAAAGCGATTTTCCAAGTATAACCTTCAGAGACGGGAAATTTCGGCTGTACTTTCTTCAGGTCAGGTTCTGCTCCCTGTCAGAACTCTTTCCAGATTATTCTCCAGTGGAGAACAGAGAATGTGCTAACCTGCTTGGTGAAAAATAAAGCCCCTGGATTAAATGGGCATGTCCTCCTCTAAAAATCGATCAAAGTGAAGGTGCAGCTGCCTCACGTGTTCCCAGTAACACACTGATGATAACAGCAAAACCCAGAAATACAACATCTAACAACCGGGGACAGCTTACATTACCTACCACACACACCAAATGTCATCGGGCTTTTGACAATAACACGGTGGAGCGCATGGTGCTGTGGGAAGATACATGTTAGACAGGAAGCAAGAGGAGTGTATGTTGGCACACAGGTATGTATGTATGTATATGTTATTATTGGTACATTCTTCCTAAAAGCAGCTTAGTTATTTCCTTGAGGAAGAGAGTGAGACAAGGGAAAGCAGGGATCCCTTTTAATAGTCTCAAGTACAGTACAAGTCTGAAATGCAACTTTCACTGCTGGATATAATGGTGCACACCTGTAATTTCAGTACTTGGGAAGCTGAGGCAGGAGGATTACCAGGAGTTCAAGGCCAGTCTGAGCTACGCAACAAGATTCTGTCTCAAAAAATCTAGTTAACTAACTAACTAAATAAATAAATGAAATACAACTTTTTCAGCTTGACATTTAAACTCTTTACTGCTTTGGCCTCACCTTCCTCTCTAGCTTTATCTCCCTCTGATATTAGTATAGATTGAGCATTCTCACCCAAAAATTTAAGCTGCCTGAGTATCATGTCAGTGTCTAAAAAGTCTCAAATTCTGGCATTTTAGATTTCAGATTTTCAAACTAGGGCTAATCAACCAGTAAAGTCTATGCAAATATCCCCAAATCTGAAGCACTTCTGTTCCAAACTTTTTTTTTCGAGTCAGGTTCTTGCCATAAAGTCCGGGCTGGGCTGACCTTGAACCCTAATCCAGGTGGGCACCAATCTCACAGTAGTCCTCCTACCTCAGCCTCCCAAGGGCTGGGGTAACAGGTGTGTGTCACCACACAGCTGTCTCACATATTTTGGATAAGGGATGCTCAATCCATGTTGCAGCCCAACCTTGTTCCTCACAGGCCTCTGGAATATACCATGATATACGCTCCTGTTAACTCAGAGAATATACACGCTCTCCCAGTTCAACTGGTCACGGCCTACTCTTTTATTAAAGATGTAACAGAAGTGTTGCCTCCGCAAGGAGTACTTCACGTCCCTCCCCCACCCACTCCGGACTGATTTATCCATCTATGTCACCGTCCTGGGTTTGCTATGTTGTCTCCCAACCTGATTATACACAGCTTAAAGCAGAGACTGCTTCACCAGTTTCTACAAACATGTTTTTGCCTGGAGTGGTGTCACACGTCTGTAATCCTAACACTTGTGAGGCTGAGGCAGGAAGGATCACTGTGAGTTTGAGGCCAGGCTGGGCTACACAATAAGTTAAAGGCCAGTGAGAGAAAGACCCTATCAAAAAATAAGACCGAAGAGCAAGCTTCCAAGAAGATGGCAGAGCAGTAAGCAGCAGAGAAAGAGCGTCTCTGAGATCTGGTGTCTGGACATTGGAATACAGCACTGAGGAGGATAAGGAGGGATGTGGGTCCCAGAAGGATCTGAAAACTGAAGCCCATGGGGATAGTGAGGAGTGAGAGTTCAATGAAGGAGGTGGCTGACGGCACTCTCTCCCTGAGTCCAGACTCAGTTCATGGGAGGTGCAGCTCCAACCTGCAGGCGCACGGTGACTTACTATCAACCCCAGCAGCCTCCACAGAGAAACGCACTAGAGGAACAGAACTGCAGGGGCTGGTGAGTTATTCGGGTTCAGGAGGCCTGCAGGAGAGGGCCCAGAACTCAGAACATCGGCTTCATCTAGCAGCACCCAGTGTCAGGTAAGGGAGTGGAGTTCAAGTTGGCAGGAAGTCAGGGACGAGTTCAGGCTGGCAGGAGCCAGATTCCAGCACAAGGGCTGCCACAGGCTGAACAGGACTGGTCCCTGCCTCACAGTCACACACCAGACTGCATGTCAGTGAACTAAGGGTGCAGGCACGCGGGGACTCGCTGCTGGCCGCTGAAAAGCTACAGCTGGCTTGCCGAGGTTAACCAACTTGGGTCTAGACTCTGTTTGCCCATACTGTCTACCAGTGACTGCAGACACACCCTGAAGTGGACATTTTTTTCTTTATTTTCCTTCTTTCTTGTTTTCATATGTGTATGAATATGGTTTCTAGTTTGTCGTTCTTCTGTTTTTATTTCTTTCTTCTTTCCCTCCTGTCTTTGTCACCAGTTTCCCAATGTTTGCCTGATCTTCCTTTTTCCTCTAGCCTTGCTGCTAATCTTCTTCTCTTCTTTTATTTCTCTATTTTCCCCCCAACCTATTTTAAGTGTTCTCCCCTGAAGGTAAAATCACAACACAACGGGCTTACTCAAGGCATACAATTTTCTAGTTCGTTTTAGATTTTGTTAAAGAGCCACAAATCTAGTTCATACAGTGAAGGGGGCAAATTAAGAGTAACCTCATTTTCTAGGCAGTTCGATGCTACTTTATTGTGGACTGTACCGTTTAGCCCAAGTGACGTTAACCATCCTAACCAGTGTTCTTCCTGCTTCACCAAGACTGTGATTGCCTACATTCATAAACAACACTACCTCAGCTGGAGCTGGAGCTCGGTGACACAGTGATCATCTAGGATGTGCACATTCATGGGTTCAGTCCCCAGCACTGAAAAAAACCCACAGGCCAGTGCCCAAGAACCAGGGGCAGTGCCAAGCTGGCAGCAACTTCTCATCCCCAATGAATTGAAGAGGTAGGATCTTACCCAAAGGCCGGCTCCCCCGGCAGATACCGCTGAGAAGCAGCCATTTCCCAAGAGTTCTAAATACTAGCAATCATTAGCTATTTGCCACAAGCAATTTACAAGCATCAACCCAGGAATTAAAGAGAGAAGAAAAGAACAAAAGAAAAGGAAAGAAAATGGGAAGATACTGAAATAAGATGCAATCCCTTGCATCCAGTTCAGCAAAGACAAACCCAGTGGGCAATGAGGTGGCTCAGTCCGAAAGCCCCCCCCCCCCCCACCTGGCCTCTCTGAAGTGGTAACAGCAGAGAAACAAAGCAAATGAATGAGGTCTAGAAAATATAAAGTCAGAAATGATTTCTCAGGTAACTACAGAGATGGTGACGATAGTGAAAGACATGCTTCGTGACGCTAGAGTAGATACAGATAAAAAATAGAGATCAGGAAAATGAAGAAAACCATGAATGCCTGACACAGGACAGAAGTGGAATCCATGAAACAGATTCAAATAGATAGCCAGGCGATTACAAATTGAAAGTATACACAGCAGTATGAGACAACCATCTCAGATACAGAAAACAGGATTGCTGTTAGCAATCATTAAAAGAAAGAAGTCTTAAAAACAGCAAGGGTTCATGAGACATCAACCCAACAGCTGCTAGATGATGCCAAGGATAACAAGATTGAACAGAGACCATGAAAAATCAGGAGACAGCACAAATAACATTAAAAAAACCTGTTCACAGACATCATGGCAGAAAACTTCCCAAAAAGGGAAAAAGAATTTCACATACAGATAAGTAAGGTATACAGAACTCCAATTAGCCATGATAAACCATCAAGCAAAAAAAAAAACTGTACTAACTCAAAAAACTCAGACCTCCACCAAATTTAAAGACTCAGTTCAAAAATGGGCATCTGAAATAAATACTTTTCAAATGAAGAAGTAGAAATGGCAAATAAATACATGAAAAAATGTTCAATATCACTGATGATTCAAGAGATACAAGTTAAAACAATGCTGAGATTTCATGTCATTCCAGAAAGAATTGCTGGAGATACATCAACCAATAACAAATGCTGGTGGGGCGGTAGAGAAAAAGGAACCTACTCCACTGTTGGTAGGAGTGAAGACTGGTATGGCCACTGTGGAAATAAGTGTGGAGACTCCTCAAAAAAATAGGACTAGAGGTCTCATCTGACCCAGCTATTCCCCTTCTTGGTATCTTCCCGAAACATTTAAAGGCATCATACCACCCATGTTTATAGTGGCAGTTTGTAATAGCTAAATATTGGAAACAGTCCAAATGCCCATCAATGGATGAATGGATAAAGAAGATGTAGTTGTTTTATATAACAGTGTACTACTCAGCCATAAAAAATGAAGATCTTGAGATATTTTTAGGCAAATGGATGTACCTTGAGAACATATTTTTAAGTGAAATAAATCAGACACACATAGGTAAATACCGCATAGTTTCTCTGGTGTGAGGAACTAAAAGTATAAATAAGGACCATAATGTATAACAGATATTGGGAAACAGGAAGAAAACATTCAAATGGGACAGGGAACTAGGGAGGGCTTAAGGGAAAAGGAAAGAAGGGAAAAAAAACAAAAAATGGAAACAAAGTTTCTGTAAAGAGTGAGGGGAAGAAGGGTTGAAGGAAGGGTAGGGGAACATGGAGAAAAAAGAGTAAGATGTATCATGTATAGGTACAAATTTCCTGTGATGAATGTGATCATGATATGTACTTAAAATGTACCAATAAACTTAATGCTTTTTAAAAATTGTGATTTTGACACTATAGGTGGTCATCCACAAACCCTGACAACTTAAAATTTCCCTGTGTTCGGTACCTCTGATTATTTGCAGATGGTCTCCACAGAAACATTATTACCATAAGGATAAGAGAGAAAAGGAAGCTCCAAAATGCATCATCAACCCAGAGTTCCATCCAGTCCTAAAATAAGGACAAAAGAAAGGTGAAAATTAATGTTCTGACAAACACACAGCTTTCCCACTCAAACACACAAGATGAGAGTGAATGACATCCCTCCCTCCCATTCAAGTATCTATACTGTTTATGCAATGTTTCTAAAAGGCTCTCTAATGTTACAAGCATCTCCCTTTCCATAAAAGTTCTGGGTTAACAAAATGATTTGTAAACAAAATTCTAAAACATACTTTGAACTTTAAGTAGAAAATAACTAAGGTGAGGTGAATAGCAAAAGACATTCCAGGAGGCTCCACCCCTTCTCTTGCTGAGTTGTCCCCGAGGCAGCAGCTGAGGACTGCCGGGTCGCTCTGTGGTTGCTTACATAGCACCAGAGAAGAGTTCCAAATCTCAGGAATGCCCTAAGAGGGTCTTTTCTACTGTAAGTCTGAGAAACCTATTTTCTTCCAACTAGGGAACCCAGAGTGAAGCCCCCTCTGAGTATGCCATCGTAGAAAATGCCTGATTTAAGATTTTTAGTTCCATTTAGATTCAAAACAAAATAACTCAGAGTCAGAGTCAGAGTATGCCAAAGTTGTAGTGTGTGCGCAGCACATACAAGGCATTGGGTCCAAGCCCCGGCACAAAGGGGAAGACACAAACACGCACAAGACGCGAAGCCATTCCGCTTCACAGTGCGCAGGGGAAACGCTTTTCTCCTACTTCATTCACCCACTTCTCTTTGAGCTGCATCCAGGGTCCCCTCCTGTTCTGTTACACTATACAGCAAGAGAATTCTTTCTCAAAGTAGACAAAGTTGAGAAAAAGGCAGGAGAGCAAAAGGAGATTGAAGAGATAATCTTCAGAATCATTTAAGAGAAAAGCTTTGGTAATGCCAGATAAAATAGTTTTCAATAAAAGGAAAATCACCAAAATTACATATGTTCACAAATAGAAATTCTTCAAAGTTTCAAAAAATAAGATTATACTTTGAAGATAACAATACATAATGTATTAACTACTGTTACTCTCCTATTACCCTGTTCTGAAATTTTGTTTTCTCTTTAAATAAAAGCAGTGTAATTAGAAATGAAGGTTTTACTTACGGACTGGCATTTTGCCATCCTAAATGTCTTCGTTGTCCATACCATGAACACTACCGATGCTGAAAGACAGAAGAGCCGCCTTAGGAGAAGCACACAACGCTGAAATAATCTTTTATAGTAGGAAGAAGTAGACAGCTTACCTAGCACTGCAAAGATGAGGGTGTTTGTAAAGTGCCTGTATAAGGAAAATTTTACTGTGTTTTTTCTTAGTCTTAGAGTCTTCATAGTTTGTGCCAAACTTATAAAAATGTAAAGAGAGTTAAGGAAAAACAATTTAAATGGTAATGAATAATTTTTTAAAAAACATAACAATCTTCTACAATACTTGCAAGGTTAGTACTGCTAAATACAGATTCTAAAGTTCGAAGGTGGTAACACAGAAAACATTCTCTTAGCTAGTAACATACAATCGCAGTCCCGTACGCAGACCTCGTTTCATTGTTCACCACTGTCTGAAACAAATGAACACTCTTCAAGGACAAAACTGGAAGCCAGACCTGTGCGTGTGCTTCAGGGCCAAGCTTGGGACACAGGCCCGAGCAGCACACACACTCAGAGCCAACTCCCGCCGGGTCAGAGGCCCCGTGCACACCGCGTCAGGCTCGTGTGACCTATGCGTTTCAGCTTCTTTCTTTCCTGTCTTCCCTTCTAGTTATTCTCTGACCATAACTAAGAAGTCAGGTCATCCATTAGTTCTACTTTATAAATGAAAAAGCTGCAATATGCCAAAAGGTTGAGTTTGGTAGAGACAGACTTTACCAGCAATTACTGCACTAGGGGGATGAACATGGGGATTCCAAGGCCTCCGACAGCCTCAGTGGCTGGCAAGGAGCAGGTATGGGAGAGGGCAGCACTGCTGTGACTCCCTACTCAATCTCTCTTGGAGGTCTGCGGGGTCCCAGGAGGGGCCTGTAAGAAGGGCTCGGTCCTCGACCATGCTGATGGGGGTCAAAGTTCAGGGTGTGAGGAAGGAGAAGGCTTGACATTTGCTCATCAGCATTTTATTCAGATTGGCCAATGGATACTCAAGGTTCAGCCAATCCCACAGGAGGCGGAGGAGAATGGGCATGTGGTGGGTCGGCGTCTGGCCCTGTCACAGGCCCTGGGCCATCTCAGAGGCTGATCTAGGTCCTACAGGGAAGGTGTTTCTTTTGCAGCTGCCTTTTCCCAGAACAGAAATGCTGAGGGCTTTCTTTACCCTCGCTGCTCTAGGAGCACAGGATTACTGATTCTCCAGTAGTGAAGGTAGTCAAGCCAGATGGCTTGTAGTTTTTCTGTCTGTTTCTTTTTGATATGGGGGATTGAACCCAGGGCTCTTACACTGAGCTAAATCACTAAGATGGCGAGGCTGGGGTTGGACCTGCTGTTCTCCTGCCTTGGCCTCCCAGAGTGCTGGGAGTACATGTGTGCATCACGATGTCCAGCCCAGATCTCTGTTCTCAAGTGCGAGTTTCCTTCTCTGGAGCAGACCAACAGGCTTTAGCTATCTGTGAACCAAACATCGGCAATAACAGAGCTGAGCAAAAGAACAAGAGCGGCAAGTGCTACATCAATGCCTATTTTAAATTCTAAATGCTTCATTAATCAAAAACTTTGTTTTCACTCAAAACCCACTTTACAAGACTAGTTTTTAATCTCTGTAAGATTAAGACTTTACAAGACTAGTTTTTAATCTCTGTACCAGTAAGTTACAAAGGAAATCCATTTGTAAGGTAACATAAGCCAGCCAGCAGTACTGTTAGGACTTACAAAATTGCAAGTATCCCTTATTCTTTAAATATACCAAGATTTATAATTGGTCTTTTTTATCATTATTCAAAAATATTTTTGTAAAATCAAGGAATGTCAAAACAAATCAGAGGTTCCCTAAGCCTTCACCACCACGACACTGTCACAGTTAGGCAAAGTTTAAATCATTCCTCCCCTTAGGGAAAGCATCGACGAGAGCGAACAGAGTCCCCACCCAAGGGGCAGCCAGTGCACATGCAGCTGCAGCAGGAAAAGGATATCCACCAGCACAAGCCAGAGTCTAGGAGCGAGAGAGGGAGGCTGGCCAGAAGAACAAGATCAGAGTCATTCGCCTGCAGCAAAACAGCAAAAAATAACAAGCAGGAAAAAGGAGGTGGCACATTGAGAAAAGCTATGGCTTTTGCGTTTTTCCTGCTGCTTTAGAGTTAGAATTTTACAGGACTGGCTAAATTGAATTCATCAAAATCAAAGGAAGCAAGGTAATGAACCAAAACACTCAATTCTGTACGTATGTAGCTTCGCTCCTTTTGCCTGTCATTTGTAATCATTTAGGAAATCCACTGCTTCTTTTCTTCCTTTGTGAAAATCAAGACTTTCACCCTAGTAATGAAAATTACAAACACAATCTGAAGGCAAACCCCACAAATTAAGAGTCCAGAAGAAATGGATACTAGATTTGCTTTTTCTCACCATAAAACACTAAGTGAGATAGTTTTAATGTTTGGATTTCATTATGATTATTAGGCCATTATGATTATTAGGTCTTGTTTTCCTGGACTCTGCACTGAGCTCTGACTCATGTCCTGGAATGTACCAGTCAGTGCTGTCTGCGAGGGCGACAAACTGCCCTCCTCCAGATGTACAGGGAATTGGAGACTACAGAGCTGTCTGCCTTTGGAATTTTCTGCCAAGTTGCAGCTGAGTGTTTTCACGATGAATTGCCTTGTAGATAGTTAAGAACAAGAAATTTCTAAAACACTTACTATAAATTACCAGGAGAAAAGATTGTACCTATCTTTTTAAATGCAAAGCCTACAGCCAATTACCTATCTGACTCACTGATTTGTTAAAAGCTCCAAGCACACATGATTTTAGAGAGGAGAAAATCCAAATCAAACAGCTATCTTAGCCTCATTTTTTAGGCTCACGGCAAAGCATTAAGATCGAGAGAAACCAGTGCTGATGGACAACAGTTACATTCATCTCCACTGCAACCCGGAACCCTGCTTCCCAGTGTGCTGGGCCTCTGTACCCATTCCTCTCACCACAGGTGAATGTCGGGGTACAGAGATGCTTGGGACCCACAGCCTTGCAGGCTGCTCACTGTTCACACAGAGCTGAGGAACACATTTGCAACTGCATTTCTTTAAGTGTCTTCTAATATGGGAAACATGAAAAACATGAAGATACCACCTCTCATAAGAGCAGATATATTTAATTACAATTTAGTTAATAAATCTGGGCCCTAAATTTACAGCTGTGAATGAAGAAAAACAAGAGTTTTAAGTAAGTTCAGTTAAAACCAACTTTTAAAATCAGCTGTTATTTCTTACTGATGCTCCTCATACTAAGAGGGTACATGGACATAAATCAGGAAGTCTCTAGCGGCCCCTTGGTGCAAAACCAGTGTGGGGTGTGCTCTGTGGAGGAAGGCTCATAGTAGTCCTTAGATTTCCTGAGGCATTTATAACCCCAGCGCTCAGAGGAGGTTTGCGAGCCCTGACAATTCATCAGAAGTTCATTGTCCCTTTAATGAGGAAGAGAGTCTGCAAATGGGGAAAGGAGAGCATAGGTCAGCCAGCCTTAGGACACAACCCACAGGGTCCAGTAGCCCTGAGCAGCACTGTCTCTACACACTGCACCCCTGCAGAGCAGAGACCTCCCTGTGGAGAAAGGAAACAGGCAAGTCCACGCCCGCTGGCCTTCTTGGCCGACACACACATACAGGCAGGAAAATACAAGGAAGACATAAAAGAAAATTCCACATCAAAAGAGGTCAGTAACAAAGACAGTGGAAACAAAAAACACATGGTAAAATTAGTAATCTATCTGACAGGAAAGTGTTCTAGGGATGACGTAGAAAATAAAGTTCTGGGGCTGGGGATGTAGCTCAGTGGCACAGTGCCTGCCTAGCAAGCACAAGGTCCTGAGTTCGATTTCCTCAACAACAGAGACTGGAAAAATAATGTTCTGGGACATGCATAATCTGTGTTCTGCTCTAACCAAGTCAGATTTCTCCATAATTCTTCCCATTTCCACCAGGGCCACCATGGAGGAAAAAAACTACAGGGATTCTTGAGTCACTGGGCCAGAGAGGAGGACCCGGTTCCCACCGCCTCCAAAGCAGCTCCTGCTGCAGCATCTCCAGCTGCTGCCTGCACTACCAACCTTTGGAAGGATGGGAGCTGGTGTGGGCACCACCAGCTCCACAGCACCGGCCACTCTGGACCATGCCCCCTGACTTCCAGTGTGCTCCCTGGAAGCTTGCTGGCTCTTCCCCCTCCCTTCACCCTGGTGCTCCTTCCAGGCACTTCTTCCTCCCCATGCTGCCCCCCTCCACTCAGCTGCATGTTCCGGTTGGGTCTTTTCACAGCTGCCACCTTCTCCCATCTCTCCTAGGACCTCTGACCTTCATCCCCAGCTCAGACCCTCTCACAAGCCCAGGCTGGGACTCCTAAGTCTTTTTTTTCACGTTAATGACCTAGGCAGCCCAAACCTGATCCATCATGGCCCCTGCTTCAAGCCCCCCCACCAAACAGCACTACTGCATCCTAGCTACTCCTGGCAAGACTCATTTGGATTCTTTTTTTTTATTTTATTTTATTTTTTTTGTCTTTTTCCTTTTTATCGGTACCAGGGATCGAACTCACGACTGCCTGCTTTCAAGGCAGGCGCTTATGCCGCTGAGCTAAACCCCCAGCCCCTCATTTGGATTCTTTTCCCCACTTCGCCGCTGCATTTCTGACCCTTATGATCTCTTCTTCGTACTTCTGCAAGCAACTCCTTCCCAGCTTCCTGCCTTTAGTCTCTCCTTGTCATTTTCTATGTCATCTGCCACTGCCTCCATCCTGTTACACACATACAGCTTCCTCCTCTACCTTGCACCTTCAGGAGAAACCCACAAACATGCCTTCCCCTCCTGGCCCTAGCGGCCAGAATTCTGCAGGAATGCTACCCCGGGACATCTGGCCACTGACACCTAGATTTCTGTGCTTCCAACTTTTTGTTCCCCTCAGTTCTTCCCAAGTTACTTTCCCCGCTATTCTCTTCCTAGTAAACTCTCTGTTCTCTTGCTTCAATTTAAATTTTACCACCTTTAAAGTCTTTCCTGGTTTTTATGCTAGAATTAATTTCTCTTACCTACTTCTGTTCACATGACACCACTTCAAAATGGCAAATATTATTGCTGCAATGCTGTTAAATGATGTATATATTTCTTCCATCAGGCTGTGAATTCTTTAAACGCAGGGACAGTTTTTCGTTCATGCCTAAACAGTAGCAGGTTGAGTACTTAAAAATTTGCTGAACTTACATAAATACAGATATGCCTTATTTGGGGAGTTTACTTTTTCATCGTCAAAAAAAGTCCCACACTGAGGTAGCAATAATATATAACTGTTTTTCACTCTATCATTATTACAAGTTAAAAATAATCTGATTTTAATGATACAACACACTTTTTTGGAAAGACATTGTAAAGGATATGAACCACACAAAAATGGAGTCAATAACTGCTAAAATAATGTCACCCAAAACAACACCTAAATGCTTAGAACCCTGAAAGACAAAAACAGGGAAAATCTGGTTGTAAAAGTTTCATTAAAAAAAAAAAAAGTTTCATTTCATACAGCAATTAGCTTATTTTATCACTCTACAATGCCACATAGAAGATTTTACTTCTTAACAAAATTATGTTTAGCACATGAAAATTACCTGTTTTGGCAGAAACAAATGCTATCATGTCACTGACTTATTAGAGGGATATAAAACTACTATGGGCTGCCGGATAAAAGATCTCCATTCCCGCCAAGCACTTCACCACTCCCTCCTCACTCCGAACCTATAGCCAGGATTGCTAAGAAACGGATTCCTGACCTCCCCATCCTTGTTGTGAAGGGACTCAGAAAAACAGCACACTAAGGGAGGGGCCAGGGTGGGAGGGCATAAACTGCAGACTGGACATTTACTCTGATACTAAGATGCTACCCAAGTAACATTTTCTTAAAACTACCGTGCATACACTATATTTATATGTGAGGAATTTAGCTTTTGTAGTTCCTTTCCAGTAAAGGTTCACTTTCTAAAATATATATATATCTCAAAGCTCTCCATGATTATGTAAAAATAAGTACACACAGATTGAAAGAACAGGTATGTGACAGAGAACGCAGACATATCAAAGACCACAGAAAGAGGAATAAAGTTTTAAAGTTACTGAAGAAACATGTGGGGTAAACTTATGTGGCAACCTAACCTCTGTGCCTATGACCTGATGTCATACACTGAGCCCTTTACACAGGTAAACAAGATCCAGACCTCAACCTCTCACTAGAAAACCAAAGCTAGGAACCTAAGGGTCCTGGCAGACGTAATATGAATGCCGCCTTGGAGAGCACAGTGCTGCCACCCGTATGATCAGAGGCTTCTTTCCCCTTCTCTCTTGAACACATCTCCCTACAGCAGGGCCGCTGAGGCCCCAAAGTACGAGCCAGAGTCAGCAGATTTATGACCGAGTGAACACTAGAAGGCTGCTGTAGTGTAATGTGCACACGCCTGAAGGCACAGAATCACCTAGTGTAGCTGTTAACTGATTCCAGGGTTAAAAATGACATAAACGCGTGCAGACTATATGACAAAAAACATAAACGTGTGCAGACTATATAACAATAATCGAATACTTCTGGGACGGAGCTAATTCCTGGTATGACACCAGTGGAGCCTTCTTGAGCAATCATGTCATTTGGAGAAGTGCTCTGCCTTGCTTTTTCCTTCAGGAAGTATTAAAAAAAGAATTATGTCATAGGAAAAAAAACTCAACTCGGCCCTTTTTCCTAAATTCCTACCACTAAAAATATCCTTTTGGGACGCAATAAAGTAAGATCATATTTCAGAGGGACCACACAAAGGGGTGGGAGTGGAATTAGTGCAGTTTTTACCCCAATGACTCTCATTACGCCTTCAATAGCCGCAAAGATAAAGTAAAGCAGTCCCAGTCCAATCACCCGGTGCATGACTGTCCCCAGCCGAGGCCTGGAGTGCAGAAAAGGCAACAGGAGAAAAGAAAAGGCTCAGGTAAGTAAAATGCATGGGAAACCAGCACCCAGCCCAGCCCAAGGAGTCACTATTTAACCCGTCGGTCTGCTGCCTCTGGCAGCACCCTCTCACAGGAAACTGGATTTCTGAGGAACCCAGCAGGACAGGATCGGGATCCACAGACCTTTTTTACTACCTGAAGCTTTGTGGGTGCCTGTGGGGCAACTCTGTGAAAGGTGGCAAAAGGTTTTGCTGCTGAAGATCAAGTTCCTAACACACACAGAGGCACTACGTCTAGAGTGGAAGGACAGGTTGGGGAAACCTGGGGAGACAAGAGCCGCGCAGAGATGACAACTTCAGTCTCCCACGAGCAGAAACCACAAACTGGCTCTCTGCAAAGCCCTGTTTTAGGTAACATGCCAAACTCAGGATTTGGGCAGGGGAAGGGTAGGCCACAAGGAGACGGAACATTGGTACCTCCCCTCTTGAGCACTGCCTCCACCTCCCGCCACAGGAGGACCAACCCAATTTAGTTTTCATACTTCGGACTGTAAGTTCTGACTCCTCAGGAGCCTCAGGGTTAAGGATACGAAATGAGCAAAGCTACCATCTCACTTGAGAGGGCTGCAGCTGGGACAGTCAATGGATACTAACATCTGTCCAGTGGCACCCTCATTAAAGGCTGAGAAGACACACTTTCACACGGTGGGCACTGCTGGCCCCCTGGAGGTGACAGTAGAGCAGAAATCCACAGCAAGTGAGAAAGAAAACTGTGTCTGGGTTCAGGGGAAGGAACTCATGCAATCGAGAGAGCCAGCAGGAGGAATCAATGCCCACAGGAAGAATAGTGGGAGGTGAGGTCCCTCTGGGCCAGTCTCATCAGCATAGTGGGGAAGGAGGGTTTTACTGAGCCAAAAGGGTAGCCAAGTAGCAGGTGCAGAGTTACACTTGGAGAGGAATGTGTGCCACTGCGGTACTCTAAGACTAGCAAGAGTAGAGGCAGGGAAGCTAGAAACTAGGCAGGAGGCAATTCAAGCAGTTCTGGAGGGAGAACACGGTGGCTTGGCCAGGGCGGTCCCTGCGGATGGGATGGCAGGAGTCCTTCCGGATGTGTTCTGAAGTTAGGGCCATGGAACTGACAGAGTGCCTGGGGAATCATGCACAGAGCAGGGTCAGAGGCCTGAGCACAGAGCCCTCCAGGGCGGGGCCTCAGAAGACTAAGAACGTCTGACAGAGGAAGGAGCACCCAGTGACGTGAGAGAACTGGGAGATGAACTCCTGAAAAACCAAGTAAAGCCAGCTCCATGGTCAAAGCTGGTCGAAGGCACCTGGACCAAGGCTGGGCAGGGTCAAGGGAGGTCCTAGGGAACATGACCAGGGCAGCTTTGGTGGAGCTATGGGACAAAACCTCTCCAGGGTTTGTGCAAAAGAGAATGAGGGAGGCGAGTGGCGAGTGCAGATGACTCATTTGGAAAGGGAGGCTCATGTGGTGAAGGCAATAAAATAGAAGCACAGGAGAGGACACACGGGGTTGCGGAGCCCTCTGGTTTTAAAGATGGTAAAATAAGCTGAGAGCGACTCACTGGAAAGGAAAACTTATGAAGCAAGAGAAAAACCGCCAAGACAGGGCCCAAGGGCAGGCATGGCCTATGCCTATCAAGAGGAGGAAAGCATCGTGTATGGCCAAGACATGGGAGGGCAAAAGGACCTGAGACCTCCCCCCCTGCTGGCTCTTCCTCCCTCAGAGAAAAAGGAACCCAGGTCACAGGAGGGGAGGGAGCAGGGGCTGGGAGGTATGAGAAGGGTAGTTATCTTCCGCAGAGAGGTGGCGGTGGTGGAGGGGAAGGTTGGAAAGGAAATATAATAATACTTTCAGCAGTACCACGGGTACACCTGAAGCTCAGGATGGCCCAGGGCTCCTCTCAGGCAAATGTCTCTGCTGGGGCCTGAGGCTGAGGTAGAAGGAAAGGCGGCTTTATCAAGGCTGGGGCAGTGCAGAGGAGGTGCCCAAAGAAAAGGCAGGGCATTGGGTATCAGGAAATGAAGCTAGAGGGAGAAGGTAAACATGAAACAGAAAGGACAGCAGAAGGTGCTAGTCCAGAAGCCAGAAATGACCGAAGCTGAGCTCAGGAAGAATAAACAGGAAACAGAAGACACTTGAAAAAGGTATTGCTCAAGACAAATTATGACATGAATGCAGTCCAGAAAAAGCCATGGCACTCAGAGGCTGAGGCAAGGTAAAGATGGAGGGGTGAGGGCAGGAGATGGAGCATATAAGGTCCAGACCACCGGCGTGGCCAGTAACATCACAGGGAGTGCCAAGGACAAAGACAGTGTACCAAGTGTGAGAAGAGAAGGCAGACAGGATGCCTGTGGATGACAAAGTAAACAGACCAGCAGGAGACCTGTCTGCAGGCCGCAACATGTGGGCATCAGCAGGTTTGATAGAAGAAGGCACAATGGTGTAAAGGGCACCAGCACACCAAGAACAAGATCCCCACACTTGTGTCCAGCGAGTCACAGGGACAAGAGACAACTTGCCTGGGCAGATCCAGAAAGAGGGGCGCCCGGGACAGCCACGGTCCTCTCAGAAACCCTGCTGACTTGGTGTTTAAGCCCTTCTCCCTACGACACTCAAATGCAGCTACGAAGAGCTGCACTCCCCAGAGACTGCAAATAAACCCGCAGGAACTTAAAGAACCATTTTAAATTTTCCATTATCCCAAAAGTTGACTATTCACGTAACTGTAAAAGTTACTAGAATTCAAATTTGGGATCTTCATTTGGGAGTTAATACAAAACAGCTAGTACATGGGTATAGTTTAAAAATCTTGAAAATTGGGTTGGGGATTTAGCTCAGCGGCATAAGCGCCTGCCTTGCAAGCACGTGGTCATGAGTTCGATCCCCGGTACTGATTTAAAAAAAAAAAAATCTTGAAGATTTTCCCACAGGGTTTACTTGTCTTGTGAATGCAGATGGGCTGGGCTGCTAGACTGCAGGCTTGGTATCTTCACCATGCACCAGTACTTACTTCACGATGCCATAGCCCAGGCTCACAATGATCACAAGCAGGCGGGCCAACGTCCTCTTTATCGCAGATATCAACTCCGCAAATATCAACAGACCTTGGGCTGCGTGTGAGAAAACACATCAGTGCGTGCATCTCTGAAAGGCTCTTCATCAGGGTTAAAACAGGCACCATGTGCCACTACATGCTGACCGCAGGCGATTAGGTGGACTTAATTAGAAGTCATATAATCCAACTGATAATGGAAACTTCACAGAAGGGAAATTCACTCCAAACCCAACCAGTTCCACTGGACACGGCTTTCTTACATCTACCCGAGATCTGTCTCCCTGAGCTTCCCTCTACTCTCACCTTCCCCTTGAGGCTACAGAGAACTGTACCCTTCTTGTCCCATAGATATTTGAAAGTTATAATACCCGGTGAATTCCCTCTTCTCCAGGATGTCCCATTATTAGCTCATGTAAAGAATATTCGCTAGTGGGAGATGACTTTCCCGGCACATGCAAAGCCCTAGATTCCCACACCAAAAAAAAAAAAAAAAAGAAAAACATAAGCAAACAGCATATTCGTAAGGCTGTAATAGTTAGTGACCCCTCGATCTCTGCCTACTGAAGCTTGGATTCTTCTGGTATGACCATGAACAGAACTGATGTTCTAAGCAATGGATGTAACATAGTAATCTATGCTAGGAGGAAAGCTGGCCTGACCTACATTCCAGGAAGGTGCAAACGGGTCCAAAAAAAGCTAACAAAAAGGGACCTGTAAATCACAACTCGAGAGCCAGGTATGATGGTGCATGCCAGAAGTCCCAGCTCTCTGGAGGCTGAGGCATGAGGATTACAAGTTCAAGGACAGCCTGGGCAATTGAACGAGACTCCGTCTCAAAAACTAAAAAGCTGGAGTTGAAGCTCAGTGCCACAGTATTCTTAGGTTCAGTTCCCAGTACTGGAAAACAAAAAGCAAAACAGACCACCACTAACAGCAAAGGAGCTGAACACCTTTTCTGATATCCAAGGACGGTTCAACCCCAAGTGGCAGACCTAGTTTTCCTTCATTTCTTGATTTAGAGCACATGTGCACAAATGCATAAAACTTACAGTGTAGTAATACCTCCACTCTTCTCCCCAGGATGTTTGTCCTTTACTTTTCTATATATGCCTTTTAAACCTTTTTATTTTGGGAAATTTCAAATATTCCTCAAGTAGGAGAAATCAATTTAATGAATTCCCATGAACCCAGCACTCAGCTTCAATGATTACCAAAATTGCCACAAATTCTTTTTGTCTATATGTCAACTCACTTTTTTTCTTTTTAGGTTTTTAAAAAATACAATCTATTGAAAATCTGTACCAAGATCATTTGTAACTCGTCCCTTAGGGCACTATCAGGCCTTCTGAGCTGTCCCTGCTCTTTTTGGGATCTAGCCTGGGGAATTCTGGGGCACACATCTGTGGCCGCCTCACTACCAGCCTGCCCCATGTGACACATTCTACTGTAGGAACTGTGAGGGCGCCATCCCTGGTCACGGGAAGCTCCTGCAAGTGTCAGGGGGCACAGGATGCAAGTACATGGAAATATCTATTTGGTGCCACTGATTTTGGGTCTGTGCCTAAATTTTCCTTTTCTTTTTTAGAGAAGAGAGAAGACTGCAGGAAATAAAGCAGAAATGTTAAAAGAACTGGTCACACCTGAAGTGCCCCTGACAAGAACCTTCTGTTGTTTTAATCATAGCTGAGTGCTAGGGGATAAGAATTCTCTCTCAGGGGCAGGGATCTAACTCAGCAGCATAAGCGCCTGCCTGGCAAGTGTGAAGTTATGAGTTCAATCCCTGATACAAAAAAAAAAAAAAAAGGAATTCTTTCTTTGGAGGAAAAGCAAGGGGAAGGGGGCATTGGCAGGAAGGAAAACAGAAAACGAATACATGTACTTGTCCAGATTAGGATTGCACTCTGACATTCTTTTCTTGGCTTCATCCCTCTTCATCTATGTGTATCATACAGCTACTTGCAAAGCTCTGTACAAAAAGGGGACCTCCCACAGCTCTGCCCACTGATGCTAAGAAATTCCTACATCACGCTCTACTTAGAGACAGTCAAAACTCACTTGACAGGCCAGTGTTGTTGATGTTTTGATATTCAGAATAAAAAACTGCTTTTTCAAGCATTCCTAGGAAGATAACAGCTGCAATCCAGAACTGTATTCTTAATATATCTTTCCAGTAACAGGCAGACCACATCAGCCAGAGCACACCGTAAAATATATAAACAATACACATCACCATGTAGAACTGTAGGAGGAGAAGCAACATGAGTCAGGCAAACCTTTGATTACTTCAAAGTTGATACTTGTGCTTTTAGTCCTCTATTTTCTCATCACTCTGGAGTCAGATGTATTACTAACTATGAAGAGATTATTACTACCAAGTTATTAAAATTTGAAGTTTACCAATTAGAATACAAACTCAATTTAAAAACAGGAAAAATGGGCTGGGGGAACAGTTCAGTGCCAGAGTGCTTGCCCGGTATGTGTGAAGCCCTGCATCCCATCATTCCATCCCTAGCATGATTAAGGGAAAAAAAAGACAGAAAACAAAAAAGATGAAAAGACTTACGATCATTAGAGGCCAATCTGATGCAGAGATATATCCATGAGGCCCCACCATAGAGAGAGACACTGGTGACAGCAGCAGTGTGGATAGAAGGAAATGAAACAGTTAATTTTTACCTGGACACAAGATACTAGATAATTGCATGATCTTATCAAAATGTATTTACTTGTACACATGCTGTGTGAAGACTTATACTGACTCTGATCTTACAAAGAAACAAACTATTACTAATTATCTGACCTGACCCCTGCCTGGCCCTCCTGCTAATTCACTGATCTCGCTGGGGACCCTCTCTTCCTTACTGCACCTTGGATAAATCACTGATGCCTGAGAAGGCAGTAAGTTACCGTGCAAGACAGGCAGGGCTGGGCATGAACACATCCTCCAACTGTCAGGGATGTAAAACTGCCTACCAGCTTTGGGGCAAGGGCCCAATACCTGGGAAAGAAAAGCAAGCACGAAACCAGTCTGAATGTGCCCCCGGTTCATGTGCTGAAACTTAATCCTCATCGTGGTGATATGAAGTGGGGCTTTGGGCTGGGGACACAGCTCAGTGACAGAACATTTGCCCACCATGCATGAAGTACTGGATTCAAGTCTCATCACAGCCAAAACAAAAAAACAGTGAGGTTTGTTGGAAAGTCCCTCACGAACTTGCTACTATGAAAGGGCTGGAGGGATGCACACAGGTCCTTCTTAGCTCTTTTACTACCTGCCGTGTGATGGTGTGATGCTCACCCCTTCTGCTCCTCTGGCATCTCTGCCATGTGAGACGCAGAGATCATGACAGCACCCTGGGTACAGACATGGGAACTGCACTGGGTACTTGGAACCAAACGCACCAGCCCTTTGATTTTAAAGTTTCCAGCCTCCAAAACTCTGTTCTCTATAAACGACCTGCATCGGGTATTTTGTTTCAGACAGGTGATGGTACGGTGTCCAGGTCCCTGCTCTCTCTATGGGGGACAATCACCAGTCAGAAGTGCTGAGTCACACGCTTCTTGAGTGGCCACCACCACAGCACCACCCTACACTGTGGGGCACGGCTGCGTCACACCTCCGCTGCAGCTGTGACTTGCTGCTTCCCACGCTCCTCCTGGACTATGCACTGCTCAGAGCAAAGCATGGCTTCATCTCTGGGTCCCCAGTGGCCCCCAGTCCCCAGAGGAAGAATCAGAACAATATGCAAATGACAAGGATTGTCACGGACTGTTTGGCTACTGCTGGCCCCAACACTACTCTGGAATCAGCCAAAGTGATTCTGGGATCCAGGAAGCTGTTCATTCCCTCCAAGATTACTTAGGAACCTGCTGATGGCAGTGGCCACTCTGAACGGAGTGTGAAGTAGGGCTTGCTCCCGGAGACTGCCGCAGAAGTAGACAGACCCTGCTAACATCCTGCAACCTAGCTACAAGAAAAATACCTGACAGTGGGTCACTGTGAAGGCCAGAATCTAACTACAGCTTAATGGGGCCACGGGCAGCAGTGCAGGGTGGGTTTCCCCAGAAACCACAACTGGCAGACATGTGCTTCCTCCTCCTAGGTTACAGCCTTTAAAACTTCTCAAATTACAAACATTTGAAACCCCCAAAGATAGCCATTTTCTTTTTCTTTTTTTTTTGTCTTTTTCCTTTTTATCGGTACCAGAGATCAAACTCACGACTGCCTGCTTGCAAGGCAGGTGCTTATGCTGCTGAGCTAAATCACCAGCCCAGCCATTTTCAAGAGAGAATACAATCCACTTCAAATACAATTAAGATACTATTAAATCATTTCTGTATGTTAACTTTTTTTTAGAATCTGAAAGGATGGAATATTTTGCATCACACTATGAAGTTTGAAATTATCAAAATATATGATTATCTGTCAACTAAAAAGTTCTTTTGTTTTTGTTTTTGCATGATGGGGATTGAAGCCAGGGCCTCTGAACTTAGCTATAACCCTGTCCTTTATATTTCCTTTTGAGACAGGGTTTCACTAAGTCGTTAGATTGCCTAGGCAATGCGTGAACTTGTGCTCTTCCTGCCTTGGCCTCCAAAGGAGCTGAGATGACAGGTGTGTGCAGTCACACCTGGCCAGAAATGCATTAATTTCTGAAAAGTTACCTTCGGCTAATAACAAAAACTTAAATTCTTCCAAAAAATTAGGTATAAGTTCTTGAAGTGTATAACTAACAGAAATCCATTTCCGAAAGATATGCTTTTAACAGAAAATGGGTATTTGGTTGAATGACAAAACATATAGAACACATAAAATGGGAAAAGTGAACAAATGTACATGCAGTAAACCATACCATTCAAATTCCACCTGGCATCTGTTTTTTCCGTTTTAACAGCAACAATGAAGATATGAAACCCATCTCTCTGTGTTCTTGCTACAACATCCTGAAATAGAAGGGAAAATCTGTTACTTTTTAACAAATTTGTATATAAGATATAGTTACCTAATTGTTGATCACACTATAAAATAATTTTTGGTACTTAATTAGCTTACTTTGAACAAATAAAGAAATGAAAGAGAGAAAAGGAGTGGTAGGGAAGACACATAATGCCCTTTTTAAAATTTTTTTTTAACTACCATTCCAGACCTAGACAGGTAGAGGAAGAAAAAGGTCTTCTCACTCTTCAATGTCTTCTACCTTTTGTATTTCTATAGGTGCTCTTATATTACTATATTTTATGTTTTAATATTATCATTCAAATATTGCTCTTCTCATATATCATCTACTATTATCAAGCATGTTTTTAAACAGTGGAGCAGAAGGAGAAGGAAATCAGTACTGTCAGAAATGAATCAGACTGGGCTGGCGATATAGTGCAGCAGTTTAGCACCTGCCTGGCAAGTGTGAGGTTGTGAGTATGATTCTCGGTACCAAAAAAAGAAAAAAAAAAAATGAATCAGACTGAGGACAGCTGTCCTTCAGTATCAATAGGGGACTGATCCCAAGACCCGCTCCCCAACACACACACACTCCAACAGATACCAAAATCCATGGGTGCTCAAGTCCCTTACACAAAATGGCACAGTGTTTACATATAACCTGTGCACATCCTCTTGTAAATTTCTTTTTAAATTATCCACCATACCTAATATAATGTAAATAGTGGTTACATTACATTGTTTAGACTAATGACAACAAAACGTCTGCATATGTTCAGTACAGAATTTCCTTCCCGAATATTCTGGTCTACAGTTAGTTTTATCTATGGATGGGGAATCCATGGATGCAGACCTGGAAGGTGCCAAGGGCAATTTCATGTAGACCACATGACTCAGATTTCTTCGAGTACTATGTTACTTGTAGCTCCTCTAAGGAATAAAACTGTCACTGTAGTTTCTGAGTCTCCAATGGTCCCACCTCCTCGGACCTGGTACATTCTACTTTCCTGGGTAGCTTCTAGTCCTTTCCTCTCCAGGAGACAGAGCTTTTGCAAAGTCTATCCCAGCCACTGCAGTGATGCCTCACCATCTTCAGACTGTCTTTAGGATGGCTGGGAGAAACATGAAGTCACAGGCTAAAAGCAAAACTGAGCTCTCCTAAACCTACTTTCGGTCCCTACACAGAACTCTTTCAGTCTTCTCGGCCTCAGAAATTCCCCAACACCAAATTTCCCCCAGCCCCACCCACCATACTACATTCACGGTTTCCATTTTTATAGTTTTAACGACAGTGGCCCATGGCTGCTATCTTGCACATTCAGAAGGAGAATCCTATTTTTTTGTTTAAGAAAAGAGAGGCCGAAGAAAAGCTAATTTGTTTTTGAGACAGTCTTACAATGTAATGCAAGCCAACCTTGAACTGGCTATGTAGCCTACGTTGCCTTGAACTTGTGATCCTCCTGTCTCAATTTCCCAAGTGCTGAGCCTACGTACATGCATGTACCACCACATCCAGGAAGTTAATCTTTTTTTTTAAAGACAGGGTCTTGCTACATAGTCCAGGCTGGCCTCGAACTCACTATGAACCCCAGGCTGGCTTTGAACTTGTGGTGATCCTTCTACCTCAGCCTCTTGAGTGCTAGCATTATAGGCATGCACAATACTTGGCTCAAAAGTTAATCTTTCCGGGTATCTCTTTGAATCTGTTTCATGCATTCTGCTTCTTTCTTACATTGTTCATTCAAGGCTTCCATCTTTTTGCAGTACTCAATTTTTTTTTTTCTCTCTTTTTTTTAAATCAGTTCCAGGGATCGAACTCACGACCACGTCCTTGCAAGGCAGGCACTTATGCCGCTGAGCTAAATCCCCAGCTTCAGTTTTTTAAACTATGTCTTCTTTTAGATGTGTTCAGCATTTCTTTTATATCATTTATCATTTCTTCTTTTACCTGGGAGATTATTTCTGGTCTGAGTTCTTTTATAGCTTCATGGAGTTGTTTACTTCAGTTGCCATCACTTTAGAAGATTCAGGTGTGTGGTTTACATTTTCTTCTGTGTCCATGTCTGTGAGGCTTGTTTGGGATGGACTGGAGGTTTGAGGTTGCATTTTGCTCTTTCGTTTTGTCATTTTCCTGTATTCCCCTGGAGAAGCTGAATGCGAAGTCTCAGTTGCTTCCTGAGATGAGGATTATCTGTTCATACTGCAGGCCCCCAGTTGAGTGGGGGTCGTTAGGCAGGCCTTCCCAGTTCCCTAGTGGCACTCAAAGGCTCCTCAAATGTGGGAGTACTCTGGGAGGGCCTTCAGCCCACCCCACATGGTACTGTGAAGCTCCTGGTTGCTTGAGGTCAATGGGTCTACCAGGTTCTGAGTGGTGTACCAAGGCTCAACAGCTAGATGGAGTATGCTGTGTAGGCCTTCAGCTCATGCCACGTGCTGCACCAAAGCTCCACAGCTGCTTGGGGCATTGGGCAGAGCACCACTAAGTTCCGAGTAAGGTGCTGAGGTTCCATGGCTGGATGGGGTTCACAGTGCAGGTCTTCCGCGTGTGCCAGAGTGCAAGTGGTTCCCTGGCTACTTGGGGTTGCTGGGCAGGGCCCAACCAGGCCCTAAGGGACATTCCTGAAGGTCTAAGGCTGACTGGGGCACTGGGCAGGGCCTACCAGGACCTGATCGAGGTGCCATGGTGCATGGCTAGATGGGGTTCGCTGTGCGGGCCTTCAGTTCACACCACAGAGTGCAGGCTGCTCGGCCATTAGCTTCAAAAGCTAATCTTATATTACAACTTTAAAGAGATTCTGAAATAAGATGCTTATATATTTGATATTTGCAACGTTATACATACAAAATTTATATGTAATATACATATACGAAAACATACTGTTTTAAATAGTTTTTCTCTTCCAATTTTAATAAGCCTTATCATTCTCTGTGTATCCGTCCATTCGTAAGATTTTTTTCAATCTTATTATAATTTAATCTTATTATACTGGGACTCACTATATTGGGACTTACTATACTATATAATGCTATTATAATCTTACTATATTACTATATAATACTATATTACTATACTATACTATTTTACTTAGAAGACAAATAAAATGGTTTACCATTGATCCTTCCTGGGTCGAAATATTTCTGTTACTTGTTAGATCTTTATTCTGAAAAAAAAGAGTAAAATAATTCTATGTTATATTACTGCATTTCTACATGCAAAGTAGTTTTAATAATAAAGTGTTAAAAGAAAGTAAAGATTTGTAAGATAAACATAAAGAAAACAAATCTCACTGTATTCTGAACATGAGTAACAAAATTCTGCCTTTTACAAACCTTTTCCTTAGTGGTGTGTTTACTCCTGGGTAGTGTTACTATTGGTGAGCAAGTGCTAGGAAATAAAAGGAAGTTCTAGCTGCTAAAAGAGTCTGTACCTGACCCATATCTATACTGGTATGCTCAGTTTTTCTTAAACTCATCTAGCTATGCACTTGTGTGTACTTTTCTCTATATTTAATACTGTATACCTGTACACAAAATTTTTTAAAAGTCTTTGAATTTTTACTAATGACTAGTTTTTACTAATTTTCATTTTGGAATTTCCAGGTGGATGAAAATAATTTAAAGTAACTCGGAACCTCCCTGTCAGGGATGACCACGCTTATAACCTAACGTGCTAGGTAGAAGGACAGGCATGAAGGAGGGGGCGTGGACCTGCAGGCTGCACACTGCTGACGGCCAGGACCTTTGAGAGGAGCCACAGCTGCCTGTGTTTAACTGCACAATCACTGTGCCCTTGACTGGGGCTATTCTGACAGGATGATGGGCAAGGCTCCAAGTGCAGTGAAAAGAACGAGAGATAAATTAGAGCCAGGGATTATAAAAATACTCAAGATGTTAATGTAAAGAAACACAAACAGTCTGACACAGTGACTTTCGCCTGTAAGCACTTAGGAGGCTGAGGCAGGATTGCTGATAGCCTGGGCTACACAGACAGACCCTGTCTCAAAAGAAAAAATAAAAAGGCACAAAGAAATACAAAAGGGGCATTAAACTGTTATGACTACATAAAACTCCTAAAACTGAGAATTAACAAATTTAATACCTCTGCTTATTAAAATATTGATAAAACATTATTTAAATTGATATTTATATCCACTGTGAATAAAACAAATGCTACTTTAACATGGCAGGATGGATACTCACATTCAATGAAGGAAACACCTGTAAATCACTGTTGCAATCCAAATTTTCATTTTTTGTTGTCCAGCAGTCAGTGTTCTCAAGGTCACCACAGAAGTCTTCATCATCGCGAAGTTCGTGTTTTTGGAACCTCCCCTACCCAAGGTAAAATTCTATGTTATAATTTATTTCCATACTTCTTTTTCCTAGAAGATAAATAAAATTTAATATCTAAATAATACCAAGATTTTTTTCAGCTTGGAGTACTTTTAAAAAGAACAAAATAAAATAAAATATCAGAGAAAAAAGTTCTGCATCTAATTCTATAAACAGTCTAACATTCACACCATTTTAGCCATTCCAATGTGTTCAGATTTATGTGCAGTGCAAGTGATAAAGGTACCACCACAAGGAAACAGCTCTCAGGAAAACAGGGCAGACTTTGCCTTGGAGTCACTTCTTCATCCGATGTGTAAAACAGGCGACAGAGGAAGAAACCAGCACTCAACTACCCAGCAGACAGTGACAAGTGGAGCTATCCCAACTGAGCTCAGATGATGTCAACCGCCTGGGGTTCTAAAATGATAAACAGGCCAGGCGCCTGGTCCTGGGGGGTGGGGGACTGTCTTTCACCGACCAAACAGGTCAACTGGAGTGTAAGAACAGTAATACACTATCACATGTCACAAAGCAAGAATTTAAACGTGTCCACACTGATGACTGACACCGCAGAGATGGTGAAACTGGCAGGTGTGCGGCAGCTGCCTGCTGGTTATTGTTGAATGTTCTAAAAGCTTTGCCGTCACTGGGCCAGAGAAAAGGGAAGAGCTCATCCACACAGCAGAATGATAGTAAGTATAGAAGAAGATACGTGATTATGAAACCATCACTTAGCAACCATTACAATAACCATTTGATGCATCAGGCAAGAATCACAAAAAGACGATAAATCAAAGGGATGAATGTCTGATGAAGAAATATTTACATATCTTCAAAAATATTTTCCCCAAAATTGTTGTCAATAACAAAGAAAAAAGTAGTACTTTTTTCATGGGAAACCTTGGCAGATATCTCCTTAATCAACAGATCAAATTAAGATAATCAAAAATGGGACAAACCAGGATTTTGTGGAATTCGACCCAAAGTGCATCACCTGAATCTGATTACAATGAAATATCAGAAACACTCAAACTGAGGGACACTGCATAAAAATAAATGGTTTGTACACTTCAAAAGTAAATATCACTGTCACCCAGGCATGGTGACACATGCTCATCGTCCCAGTACTTGGGGAGGCTGAAGCAGGAGGGCTGCAAGTTCAAGCCCAGCCTGTGTAATTTAGCAACTTACCAAGACTCCGTGTCAAATAAACAAGGAAGAATAATGTAATGGACCCTACATTAAGTCTCATACCAGAGGAGAAAACCTGCTATAAAATACATTACTGGGAAAAAAATACATTTTTGGAACACTGATGGAATTTTAATATGATCTATATATTACATAACAGTACCAATGTTAAATTTTCTAAATGTGATGTTATACTTACTTCATAATATAAATGAATACCTATGCTTAGGAAATATGCACTGAAGTATTTAAAGTAAAGGGCTAAAATACTTTGGGATAAAGTCAAATAAGCAGTATTCCAGGAAATTGGCATCTTTTACTCCAAAAATAATACCAATAAAAATACAGGTACCCATAAATTACTCAGGATGGAAGCCAAACAGAAAATGGAGGAGCTGAACATGACATTATTCCTATCAACCATGGTGAGAATCATTAAAGAAACGCCTTGCTGAGTGGCCTGGGACCCCAGCACACACCATCCCCGTCACTGGGGGCAGGCAGGATCTTGAGCCAGGGCAGGAAAAACCTGCCCCAGCCCAGCCTCTTCCTCTTTCTCCCACTCACCTTGGCCTTTCCCCAGTATCTCCATTCTTCCGCTCACCTCTCTGAGATCACCCTCAACTCATTAAATCTTCTTGTACTCACTAACATTACAGGCCCCCTACAACTAATGTTTTGCATAAAGTGAAATGTAAATTTCTTTCTCAAGTTCACTTGTACATGAGCCACAGTTCCTTTTATCAATGGCTACTACAAGTCTGACTTAAGCACTAGCAACTTTTTTTTTGGTACCAGGGATTGAACTCATGACCTCGAGTTTGCTAGATAGGTGCTTATGAAGCTGAACTAAATCCCCAGCCCTTTTGTAAGATACAAGGAAAAATGGAAGACACAAGCATATCACCTTAGTCCCAAAATTCATCCGGAGCACTTCTAAAATCCCAAGCTCTGTTTCTTGCCTTCTCATGTGATGAGCTAAAAAAATCCTTATATGGGTAACTTTCTATCATAATCTCATACACACTTGTGTTTTACTTACTTCCAGATCAGAATACGCATTGTGGCAGACATAGTACTTCAAATACCACTCGATGGTGAACTTCACAGGCCCGGAACAACTGAAAGACTTAACTGTTTAGAAAAAAGAAAGTCTCATTTTATATTGATAATATTTACAGTGCAATAAACTTCAGGATTCAAGAATACAACTTAAATGTCAGGATGAGTAAAATATCACTTCTCTAAAAAATCACTACACGATGAGACAAACTCACTAAATCATAGCTAACCAAAAGCTGCTGTAACACTGTTCATCTGTAAGTCCAATGGCAGAATGAGCCAAGTAGGCTTTATATCCCTCCAACATACTCTTCCTACTCACTTATTATACTCAGCGAGCGTGCCGGAAAAGGTCACGATGGTAAACAAGAATAACTGCTGCCCATGACTTAAGAGGCACTGGGGAGGGGAAGGTTAACAGTGAAATACTTTCAATAGACCAAAGGGCAGAAAGCAGTACCAAGGGAGACTTGGGCAGGGCAACTAAGACATTCTAGAAGAGCATGAAGAACCTCAGTGACAGGCCTGCCAGCAGAGGAGCAAGAGCCGGAATCAGCCAGGTGAAGAGGAGGGAAGGGGGTGCGTGCAAATGCCTAGGGTGCGTGAGCATGGCACGTAGATGGCTCACCACGGTTAGAACACCACGGAGAGAAATGGAGGGCTTGACGTTGGAGAAAATCCATGAGTACTCTTTCACTCTACCAAGGAACACGGCCTTTACTTTGAATATAGTAAGCCACTACCAAACGTTTCAACTTCTGGGTGACATGATCAATCAGAATAAAAGGGGTCAAATCTCCACCTATGAAAGCTTGTTGGGAGAGTCCCTACAATACGGCAGCTGGCTTCCCCCAAGCAAGAGTTCAGGGAAGGAGCAAAGAAGGAGCCGGAGTACTGCAGCTTCAGAAGTAGTAAGAACTACTTCTGCAATATTCTACTGGTAACTAAGACTGATTCTGATATAACACAGCAGGGGACTGCACAACATCTTAAAGGCTGGGAACTGTACAGGGATCCAAACTACAAGCAGAGATACAGGTTCAAGAATTTCTAGGCTGATGGAAGCTACACAGAGAAAGAAAAAGAAACCTGCACTGTGATTCCCCTGAATCCCTGGCTCCCTGCTTGTGCACAGGGAGAAGCCCAGTAATTCCTAGAGCTGGGGACTGTTTGAGGTTTCACTGGCAAAAATGGTCATTAAATACACCAAATATTCAGGAAAGAATTAGAATGACTACACCTTAGACATGGTGCTAATAAATTAGTCCCGGAGTAAAGGTTATTCCAGACGTAGCCTAAAAGAGCTTTTAAAACAAAATTGAGAAGGATCACACTGACCCACAAAAATTATCTCCTCATACAAAGTTATTAAAGGACTAAAAATATAACCTAGTAAAATTCAAAATATTCATCATCTAAACAAAAACACTGCATATATAATGCATGAAAATTTTGTCAAAGATGATAAAATTGGATGACAAGAATGTGAAAATGGACATGCCTTATATGCTCAAAGACATAAAGGAGAATATAAAAATACTGAGAAAAATAAGATTAAAAAAAAAAACTCAAGCAGGCATGGTGGCACATATTATAATTTTAGCACTCAAGAGGCTGGGGCAGAAGGATTGCCACGAATTTAAGGTCAGCCTGGGCCACACAGTGAGTTCAAGGCCACCTGAAACTACATAGTTAGGCCCTGTATCAAAAAAACAAAACAAAACAAACCCTCAAAACCAAACAACAAACAACTCAACTTATGGAAGCTAAAAAAAAAAAAAAACAAACAAACAAAAAAACACAACAAAACTCTAAAATAAAAAGGTCATAGTATGAGATTAACAGCAGATTAGGTACTGCAGAAGAAAAGATCAGTCAATCCAAAGACAAAGCAAAAGAAATACCCAGAATGAAGCACAGGATGAAAGAACTAAAATAAATAACAGGATCTTACTCACCTGCAGGACAACAGCAATGGTCTAACATACTGGGGTCCCAGAAAGAGAAGAGAAAGATGGGAAGAGAGTGTCTAAACCCAGGAGATTTTTTTTCTAAATGGACATCCAGTTGGCCCAGCATCAACTGTTAATAAAACTCTCTCTTCTCTTATGAATTACCCTGGAACCTCTGCTCAAAGTCAGCTAACTGTGTGAATGCATGCTTATTTCTGGGTTCTCCATTATGCTTCATCATTCTGTATGTCTGTCCTATGCTAGAGCTTACTGTCATAATACTATAGGTATACACAAGTTCTGAAACTAGACAGTAAAAGTCCTTCAACCTCATTCTTTAATACTGCTTTAGTTATTCCATGTATACTCCCTTTTTTTTGTATTGGCGATTGAACTCACAACCTTGCACTTGCCAGGCAGGTGCTTGTGCTGCTGAGCTAAATCTCCAGCCCCTCTATGTATATTCTTATAGAAAATTTTAGAAACTTCTAGTTAATTTCTACATAAAGATCTGTTTATATGTCTAGAAGATTAAAATGAATTTATAAATCAATTGGAAGAGAACCGACAAATGTGACGCTAGCCACAGATTTTTTTATAGATGCCCTTTATCAGATCAAGGAAGTTTCCTTCTATTTCTAGTTTTCTGAGAGTTTTTATCACAAATAGATGTTGAGTTTTTCAGATGCTTTATTTCTGGCTTTACTGAGGTAAACAGACAGTGTATTTGGTTTATTCTGCTAATACAGTGCACTATACCAAGAGACTTTCAACACTGAATATACCTTGAACAGGGTAGCAAAAGAGGGATCACCTAAGGGAAAGTGAGGTGTCTGATTCCCCAAAACTCCACGAACACATATCCAAGGGACCAAGTCCTTAATTTTTTGGGCACTAAGATCTAGGTCTGTAAGAAGAGGGATACTCTGTCTTAAGCGTTCACCACACTTCTGATGTAGATATATGTTTATATTACAACGCCCATTTACTTACTCACACAGGGCAACGGTAAGTGGACACATAATGTCCAGCTGACTTGTGCCTTCGACAGTCTCCCTGGCAGCCCAATGGTGATGAGTAGGTCGCTTAGTGTTGGCACCAGCACAAGGAGGCTCAGGGTGTTTCCTACCTGTGGACCAGTCTGGGACACAGCCAGAGTCCCAGCTGAAGAACACCCCTCTCCTAAGTGTGTTGTGAGACCTCGCTGCCTTCTGACTGAACCCCAGCTGTGGTATGTGGCGCTCTGCTCTTCAATCCTAGTGCTGCCCTCTTCTGTCTTTAGATGTGTCATTATGGTAAAATCCCCATTGTGATCCACCCTTAGACTGGGCTCAGGCATTATGTAACACTTTTAAAACTCAAATTCTGTGTTTCCATGGCCCACATTACTTTTCTTTCCCACAAACCCTTTCGTCAGCCTTCATCTGGTTTAAAGCTTGTTTACCTAGAATTTGAGACATGAATTCATTAAAGCTGAACTCTTCCTCACCCACCTAGGGCTTCAACTTCTTACACACACATCACTACAACCATCTAGGGCACCACAGGCCTTCTCCAAACCACTTCTGCTTCCCGGCTGCTGTGTGACCTAGCTTCCCTCAGGGAAGGCCCCGAATGGCACAATCACCTCCCAGAGCTGCTCAGAGCACGGGCCCAGAGAGTAAGGGGACACGAGATTAGATGCTGGGGAAGACTGACCCAAGAAAAACTACTACTTTCTTATTCCTGAGACTTTCTCTCTGGCAACCAACCTTCCTAGTCAAAGTACTAAAAGCAAAAAAAGAAATTAGACGACAGTGAATATTATCTAATTGTGACCCAAAAAACAAAAACAAACAAACCAACAAAATCAAAAAACATTGGCACATACACAGAAAAGACCACATGTACCTAACAATGCATTCTTTTTGTTAAGCCCTAGAACTAATTAAAATGTCCAGTGATTATTTCATATTATGATATATATTTAGAAAATTCTTCGAACATAAAAGGTTTATCACAATCATGACATTTCCTATATTCATGAAAGGAATCAGCTAATTTTAAAATCTGGGACTCAAAGTCAAATTTTATAGGAAAACATTTTTTTTGGTCTAAGCCTATTTATTAACTTTGTTAATGAGTCATACTGTAGTTTTTGAAATAGCATTAGAAAAATCTATTCTTGAAAATAATCAAGTCATGACTGAAACTCAAAAATGTTAGAACCACTGAAAAACCAAACAACTGATTAGTTCACTATTTATTATACTATTATATTAGTTTACATTAAAATAATGTATTTTTAATAGCTGTTATTTATGTTAGCATATTATTTCATTATACTTACCAGAAAACTTGATCTCAGTAGAGTTAAACATAGTTTTCCTAAATATCAAAGGTCCCGATTTCTAAAATAAGAAATATTGAAAAATCCTGTTAAGATTTTTTTCTCCAGGGGCTGGGAATTTAGCTCAGTAGCATAAGCGCCTGCCTTGCAAGCATGTGGTCATGAGTTCGATCCTCCCGTACCGATTAAAAAAAAAAAAACAAAACTTTTTTCTCTGTTTAAGGGTAGTTTAATTCTATAAAATATAAAGCTTTTATTCTTGCACTCCTTGGTCTGAGCACAGCCTGTATCTTTTAAACTATAACTCTGATCTACCTTGCTCATCTGCTTCCGCTACTGTCCAGCGTGTCTACAGCAGCAAGCCTGAGAGAGAACAGGAAGTGCCCCTGCCTGAGAGGTCTCCAATGGACTCCAGCTGTCTCAGCCAGGTTTGGTGACACACAGGAGGGAAGGGCTGTGACCAGAGCAGCCACCTCTGCTTAGATGTGATCTGAGTAACTGTATGTGTTCATGCTGTTCTCTTCGTAGCAAAATGACTGTGCAGTTGGTAAATAGTTCTCTCCCTCCCCAAATATTAGCGCTACCTCCGTAATCACCAGACACTAAAATTCCTAGAGACCCTGCACAAAAATCCAGGCCTGGGTACATCTGTAGCTACATAATTCCATTCCCAAAATGCATGACATGACTTCCTAACCCTCAGGACCTCAGCAGTCAACCAGAACTTAAAATTGTTTCTTGCTTACTTAAAAATCATTTCTCATACTTTTTCTTTACTCAGTTAGCCCAGCTAAAAAGTTCCTCGTGACCTTTGGGTTTGTCCCCAAGAATCCATATCTCCTTTCGAGGGATCGCGAACACTTATTCTGCTTCATTTCTCTTATCCAAGTTAAAATCAAACAGTTCTTCCCCAGAATAAAAGTCATGCTGAAAGGACACTCTGTTACATGAACATGTGGACAGGACCACAATAGCAATAAAGGCCTAGCCAAGATCACTCCTGTGAGCCGAACACCTGTCCACTAGGATGTCCAACAGGACCAGACACACACCTTTCTGTTCTTCGCCAACTCTTCCTACACTGTCTACTTTGAAGATGCAGCCACCCAGTAAACCAAGTCTTAGCTCCTTTACCTCCACTGCTCAATCCCCAACACATGCCTAGTTTATCTCACAAGCCTTTTCCAAATTTGGTTCTTTTTCTCCATTCCTGCCACCAGCACCTAACTTGGGCCCCTAATATACTTGCTTAGACTTCTGCATCAGCATAACTGGTGTTTCTGCCTCTAGCCTATAATTCATCCTTAAGAGCAACCAGCATTTTGTTGATAACATAAAATATGGTTTTCAGATTCACTTAAAGAGGAGGCATGGCAACTGCCCACTTCTGAAGAGGCACAGGATCTGTAATCTGCATGAACCTAGATGACTTTTCACTTGCTAATAAACTCTGCCTCTGGCCTGCAGGTTCTGGAGATCTCTAGCCTTAGGTTCAAGGAAAGTACAGGTAAGGAATGGTTGTGACCTTGAGTACCTTGTCAGAATTTCACTCAGAAGCACCACGGATAAATTTCTCATTTTCTTACCAAGAAAATACCTACTCACTGAGACCAATCATGCCTCTTCCTCGAAAGTAAGGTGAGGCTGGGTCTGTAGCAGTCGTACAATATCCTAAGTTTGCTCCTACACATCAAACTCTTTGTGTCTACTATTGTGTGAGCTCTATGAAGGAATGGGCTGTGTCTAAAATTCATTATTGGCAAACACAAGACCAATCTAGTGCACAGCAGAATTTTGAATGGGACTCGAAATGCTGGACTTTAGAGTTTTCTTTTGCAGTTCAGGCTGGCCTTGAATGCACTTTGTAACGCAGCTTGGCCTTGAACTTGCATCAGTCCTCTTGATTTTGCCTCCCGAGTGCTGGGATTACAAACCCGAGCCACTGCACCCAGCTAAAAAAACCATTTCTTGACAGATGTGCAAAAGAAAGCCCCATTCCCTCTTCTTGTTCTTAAGGTAAAGTTCCAACAATCTGATACAGGGGGAAATAAAACTAGCCCAGTTTTTGCAAAGAAGGGCTTCCTAGACCACTACTGGCCTGAGTTAGCCAACAGAAAAATTAGAAGTAGTGCTTAAAAAGAAAAAAAAAAAAAAAAAAAAGTAACCTAACTGAATTTCTAACACACTTCCTCCTACAAGAATCAAACTTATTCTTCCTTCATGGCCTTTTGGAAAGTATACTTGGCAATAAACGATCTTTACATAGTCAAACAGATTAAGAGTTTTCCACTGTTCTAGTCTTCATTCATGGTATCAAACACTTTACTGTTGGGAGTGACTCAAATATTGGAATTGCACAGGTTATACCACTGGTGAACAACACAGGGCACCAACTCAGGAGAATCCTAGAAGATATGCCTGTGCTGAGAAATACCCACCCATATTTGTCCCTCCCTCTGTGTAGCTCTTGCGTTGTTAGACGTATGTGTAGCTTCTGGTATTATCTTTTTCTGGTTGAGGAAACCAAAATATAAAGTTCACCTTCAGAACTTGGACATAATTTGGATACATATGGAAAATACCCCAAACAGAACTGGATGAGTCATCTGACCTCACAGGAAAGGAGGAGATAATGTCTCGTCCGACTTCTCATCTCCCCCTTGCAAAACTATCCATGTCAACCCCTGCATTCCTCCTACATAGTCTCCTTTAACGACAGGACGCCAAGTTTTCTAACGGAGTGCCCTGGTAAAGTGTTTCCACCCACCAGTGTCTCCAAACACATCCCGCCCCACCTCCACACTCAAGAGTCCAGGAAGTGTGACAGAAGCCCTGGAGAAATCCCAAGAGGAAGAGAGGTGGAGGTGACTCCAGCAGGGTCCGCTAACGAAAAAAAGCGGAAGTGGAGCACAAGGTTTCTAAACCGATGCTGCAACAGAAGGCCGGACCGTCCTCCCTTGCTAAAGATGCCGCTGGGTGTGTGCAGAGGTTCCGGACTTCGGACCCGGTTGGCGCGGAGCCGAGCGAGGTGCCAGGACTCGGGGAACGGAGATGCTCGCGAACAGGGAAAGCTGTCCAAGCACAATCGCGACAGCCCAGGTCGGGCAGAGCAGGGGGAGCTCCCTGTCCGCCGCGCGTAGCGCACAAAGCCCCGGCGAGTTGTCACCGGGCGAACGACCCCAAGGCCCGGCCTGAGGGCGAGTGAGCCCCGCTACTCGCCACGCCTCGACCCACACAGCACTTACATCATTGATCGTTTCTGTCCAGAGGCCGAGCTCGGGGACGGCGTGCAGAGCCGCCGGGGCCCAGCACAGGAGGCCGAGAGCTACGCGCAGCACCCGGGCCCCGGCAGCCAAAGGCCGGCGCGCGGCGGCCATCTTGACGTGGAAGCCGCACCTGGCGTTCACCGACGCCTGCCACGCCCCGGGCCCGCACCTGGCCGGGCTCCGCCCCCGCGGGCGGGTAAGAGTTGGGGAAGAGGGGCTCTGGCTGGGTTGTGTAATACGCCCAAGCCTCGCGGGGAGGTGCCAGGCCAGCCTGGCCGGCGGGCCAGACTGAAGGCGGGGACGAGGGCGGGGCCTGAAAGGAACTATGAGAAAGCGTAGGCGGGAGAAGGCGGGGTCGGTACGGTGGGCGGGGCCAGGGAGTGGGCAAAGAAAGTAAGTGGACGGCGGGAGTGGGTGGGGCTCGAAGGCGGGACCATTGAGGAGGAAGGGGCGCTGAGTGGATGATCGCCTTCAGCGGTCTGAGGCGAACTCTACTGCAAGGAAGGGAGGCGTGGGAGTCGAGCAGTGGAGGCGGAGCCAGCTTTGGGGGCAAGATCGCCACGTGGGTAAGGGCAGTGGCGGGAGGGGCACAGGGTGGATCCAGACACGGATTTGGGGGCGGATGGGGTTGTGGACCAGACCAGGGTGTGGAGCTCGCACCTGGCCAGGAGTTGGAGTATGGGCAAGGCATCAAGGTGTGGTTCAAGACTGGTGACCAGTGATTGAATATGTCATCCAGTTTCTTGTACGCTATATATCGGCGCCTGCCCCAACGCTCTCAGGTCTGGGAAACAAACCGTGCTTTAAATTCGTGGAAAGTGCCCAGAAAGCACTGAGGTCAGGCTGTGCCAATTGAACATTAACATCAAAGGAAAGTTAATTTTCATAACAAAGTTGCCTAGTTGTTAACAACTCAGAGGTAGCAAGGTTTAGATTTACTATTAAAACTACATGTCTGGGACATCCTACTATTAAAATTAAACACGTTTTGTCCTCTAAAAGAACTAGCTCGTTCACTGTTAAATGTAGGTAAAGAGTGAGATGACAAGAAAGATCATTTCAGTTGTCCTAAGAAAAGTGTATTGAGGTGACCAATGGGATGACCACTTAAGAATAGTATGATAAAACCCAGCCTGGTGACACATGCCTATAATCCCGGCACTCTAGGAGACTTAGCTAAGATAATTGTGAGTTAGAGCCCGGCCTGGGCAATTTAGTGATTTATCGATATCTTGTCTAAAAATAGAGTTTACTGGGAATGTAGCTCAGTGCAAAGGTCCTAGGTTCAACCACCAGTACCATAAAACAATAACTAAAGGAGACACGCTGTCATTTGTAATATAGATCAACTTGGAGGGTAAGAATCTAGGCACTGTAGGATAAATAACACATGTTCTTATTTATATACTGAAGATAAAAAAGTTGGTTTCATAGAAATGAGTGGTTACTAGAAGCTAAGTAAAGGGAAGAGGGGACAGGAGATTTTGGATTATGGGTTATAAAGAATGAGAAGAGAAAATTCAAAGGCTCCCAACACCGTGAAATAATCATGTTTAAGAAGTTGTAAATATTAATTACTCTGATTTGATAGTTACAACATATATATAATAAATTATCATGCTACATACCATCAATGTGTATAATTATGTTAATTAAAATGTTTAAAGAATATTGTAGGGCCCGAGGTTTAGTTCAGAGGCGTGTCTGGCAGGCAACCTTGAGGTCGTGAGTTCAACTCCCGGTACAAAAAAAATTGCAATAATAATTCACACAAGTTAAGCTTAAGTTCTAATAATTCAGAAGTGATATCCTCAACTACAGAAACAATCAAGGGGATAGTTTAAGTGGATTTCAGAGACATGAGGATGGAGATTTTATTTTATTTATGTTTTGGAGAGTACCAGGAATTGATCTTAGGATCTCACATTTGCTAGGCAGGCACTGCACTGCTGAGCTATATCCTTAGCCAGAGGATGAAGTTTTAAATGAAGAAGACCTGGTGATTGGTTTGATATTGGGGCTTAAACCAACTTTCTGCCAACCCATAACTCACATCATGGGGAGTCCAACAACCACTGCAGTCCTTCTTCCCAGCAGAAATCTCCCAGGCCTGGTCTTTACCATCAGGCTTCCTATCAGCCTTCTGGTCTCCTGAGCTGTGACCACTATCTCCTCTACAGAACTGCCTAAGCTGCTCTAGCTCTATGCATCCAGGCAACACATCCAAACCTTTCCAAACTCTGCCCACAAGCCATTTCCAAAGCCATTTCTTGAAAAACATGGTAAGGTATAGTCACAGCAAACAACCCCATTCTTCGGTACCAAATTCCGTCTTAGTTACTTTTTACTCATTGCTGAGACAAAATACCTGAAGCCCAAGTTTGGAAAGGAAAAGGTTATTTCTTACAGTTTTGGGAGGTTTCAGTCCACACTCAGTTGGCTCCAAGGCAGGTGGGCATGGCTGGGTCACAGTTCATGGTGGCTGCAAACAGCAAGTAGGAACAGGCAAAGAGCAAGATACACTTTCTTCCTACCATTACATCATATCCTGGCTCCACTCTTATGTGGGTGTAACACTGACACCATGAATCCAAGCACTAGACAATGAACCATCACAAATGCACAATGAAAATGCATGAGGCCTGGGGGCCACAGACATAAACCATGACAGTAGCCTACTACTTCTTGTACTTAGGAGCACACTTCTGCTGATCTGTTTCTCTGTGAATAGCTTTGCTTGTTTCAACTAGAAAATTGTTGTTGTTGTTGTTGTTCTTCTTCTTCTTCTTGTTTTTTTCTTGTTTCATCTGAGATAACACATTTGCTGCCTTCTCTGGTACAGTTACTCCCTGGTGATTGTTCCTGTAAGCTTAGCGGTAACTTAAGGAACTCTTAGTTGAAATTGTATATGAAACATTTTACTTAGGAACATAAGTTTCCAAAAGAAAGAAAAGGGGAAGAGAGACTGATTGACTGAGACTGACTAGGGTTTTTGTGTATCTGAAACATACTTGTCCTTTGTGTTCTAATGTCAGACTTACCATGCTTACAATGTTACTGTTTCACATAACTGTGTTACACAAATCACTTTTAGAGATGTTAGTATAGTAAAAGTGTGACTTGAGTCTTTAGAAATAAAGCATATATGAAACCTCAAATCACATTACGGAGTGCATGCAAGACTCACCTACCCACTTCCCTGCAGTACTGCCTTGGTATTGCATGAGTTTCTGTGCTGGTGATACATTCGGCATTGAAGGAGGTGTTGAATGGCTGGCTAAAGAAGAGATCAATGGGTTAAAACCACAGAATGACCCAGTGACTTATCAAGTACCCGTTTACTTAAAGAGCAGTGTACAATAGAAACTGTCCTCTGTTACTTGTTTGCTGTATTAGACGATAATCTTTTTGTGGTTAAAAGTCTGCATTACAGCTGGGAGTATGAAACACATCTATAATCCAAGCACTGGGGGAGACTGGTTACACAGAGTTTGAGGCCAACCTGGACTACATACATAGCAAGACTTTGTCTCAACATTCCCCAAACCACAACCACCCCCCAAAAACACTGTTTTTTAAAGTCTCTCACAAAATTAGGCACTGATGTCTCAACTGAGGTGTGGTTTCCTCTTCCTAGATACTGTTTCTTCATTGTTGAAGTAGGGTTTCATGTTTTCCCCTAATTGTCTTACTACCTTGGATATGAAAATTCTGCTTGAGTTTTATAAGTTGGTAGTAATTCTTCAATTCTCTGAAGTAATGGTGATTTGACTGGGAATCAAGAGAACTCTGTAGCATTTTTTATTTACTCAGGCATTCTCCATAGTATGTGTGTGACTGTCATTACAAGGATGATGTTAATAACATTAAAACTGTAGAAGATAAAAGGAACTGAGAATATGTGTTATACTTTTGAAAATGCTCAGAGACTGTTCCATTAACTTGTTGGATGTGTAACAGTGCTTCTTTAATTTGAATGTCTTCTTTTTCACAGGCCTGAGTTGCTGGAGGAAGCCCAGAGGCAAGGCTTACCATTTTCACAGTGGGACGGGCCAACCGTGGTTGAATGGCTGGAGGTACATCCCTTTACTACAGAGACCTATGCTACATGACACAAGCTTGTCGTGCATCTCCCGTCTCTACCTGATGTTCTGGTCTTTTCATTCTTCTTTCTAGCTCTGGGTTGGGATGCCTGCTTGCTATGTGGCTGCCTGCAGAGCAAATGTGAAAAGTGGGGCCATCATGTCAGCTCTGTCAGACAGACAGATCCAGCAAGAGATTGGCATCAGCCACCCTCTGCACAGACTGAAGCTGCGGCTGGCCATCCAGGAAACCCTGTGGCTCACCAGCCCTTCGGCTCCACCCACATTGAAAAAGGTATGTTCACAGAGGCTCTGTGTGCCCTCTGTGGAGGAGGAAGGCAGAGCCCACAAAAGCAGTAGCCTGCTAATGTTTCCGTGCTGCTTCCTAATCATACAGGGTGGTTTCAACTTAAAATTTCAGGAAAGCATAGTACAACCCCTAACTTGGAGGGGTTGAGTGATCCAAAGAAAATGTGTGAACTGCTTGTGTAAAAGTGTGGTTAAAGCCAGGCGTGGTGGCACATGCCTGTAGTTCCAGCACTCAGAAGGCTGAGGTGGGAGGATCACTGTGAGTTCTAGGCCAGTGGGTTACAGTGTGAGCAGCTTGAACTGAGTAATGAGATCCCGTTTCAGAAAAGACCAAAAAATAAATAATTAAATAAATGAATAAAACTTGGTTAGAAAGGCCTTCTTTAAGAAAGAAGGCTTTTTGAAAGGTAGAAAATTGATTGTCACAAATATACGTATGAATTTATCAAAACTGAGTAAGTGTAAGGACCTCTTGAGGAAGGAAAAGTTAACATTTTAAGTAGCATTTCATCCTTGAACTTTGATTTCTATTTCATAGTTCAAACAATAATTAGTACTTGTACGGTATATAAAGGTACTTGCTAAGCAAATTATATGCGGAAAATATTGTTTTTCTTCAAGTATACAGGTAGCAAAATATACAGATAAGCCCAGGAATGTATAAACCCTTGCATACAATCCCCGGGCATAAATAAGCACCTGGCTACGGCCCCTTGGCTATAAACTAGGTTGGGCTGCCCTTACTTTGTTGTGTGTGGCTTCTTTCCTTCAGTCTTGTGCGTGTGAGTGCATCTGCATCACTGCACATATAGGCGGGACTTACAGAGTAACTGTAATTTGTGGCAGTCCAGAGGTGCCACTGACATACAGTTGACATGCTAACAAGGGGTGGTCACCTCCCAGAAATCCACTGGTTCCTGGACAGTTCTAAGCTTCTCTTCTTTGTGGATGTCTTTTTTTCCCTACAAGAACTAAAGGAGGAAAAATGCTGAGTTTCCTAGATGCACTGTGGTTGTGTGTCACGGCACCAGCAGGTGCTCTGGGTCTTGGGAGCTGCATGTGTCTGTCCAACCATGCCTGTGCTCACAAAGATGCTGTCCACTTGGGGAGTAGTGAAGAGCCCTCAAAGAGCTTCCTGGTGACTCTTCTGATGAAACATTGGTGGTTATTAGAAGGGAAGAGCAGGCCAGCTCTTAAGTTGCAAAGTTCAGGGGTTTTTCATTTAGATGTTCAACAAACTCTTAGAGCTGTGTAAACATCCTTCTGAGCAGCAGAGCAAGGTCTGCCTACAGTAACTTTATACACAAAAAAGTGTGAAGATTTTGTTGTTAGAGAATTATGAAAATGAACAATAAGCCTTTTTTTTTTTTTTTTTTTTTAACGTATGGCCAAAGAACACTTTCCCTTGGTGGAATGTTTTGTAACCAGTATCAGTCTGTTCTGCAGCTATTTCCACATTAATGTGGGCTTTGTAGAAATGAAGATGCTGCATGGCTTTTTCAAAGCTTTTAAGAACCCTCTTTCAAAAGGGAGCTTCTGTGATTCAGTTGAACTATTGGCAAGGACTAGACCTCACATCAGAAAGACTCTCCATATCACCAGTTACAAACACAGAAATTGCTGTTCTTGGGGAGCTTACAGTGGGCTAGCAGAGTGGCCATCAGTCTCAGGTTTGACTCAGATGGTGACAAGTGCTTTGTTTTTGGTGTTTGCATTGTTTGGCTCTCCTGTGCTCACTATCTTGTGCCCTGGCCTCCTGGGCTTCCTCTGGCTTTGGATCATCTGCTGAAAGCAGCCACAGGAAGCCAAGGCCAGAGCATCCTGTTGTTAGCCTGTGTTGGGGTGAGACTGCTTTCTGTGTGTTTTGTTTTATTCTTTTGTTTTGCTGTACTGAGGCTTAAACCTAGTGCTTTGGGAGAGGCAGGCAAAAGCCCTATCATGAGCTATACCTCCAACATGGTGAGACTATTGAAAATACTGTCTATTGAATCATCAGTTACTGGGGAAAGTAACTTTTCAGAAATATAAAGTATGTTCTCATCCATACTTTTAAGCATGTGATCTGGAAATTGTGTGCTGTTCTCCTTATATTCCGACCACACTGTTGTTGTTTAAAAGAGGATGAGCCTGTGTTAATGATCTCTGGCTTTCTCTGTGGGTGCCTGAAATGAAAATGTGCAAAGAGTGACCTTTGCCTCGTGGCTCCTTACTGTGCCTGTGGCTCATATGTGCGTCCTTCTCCTTTCTGTCACGCTTCCCTTGCCCTGGATGTGGCTGGTGCACTGGGGTCACCTTAGACCACAGGAAATGTCTGGTTAACACATGAAGAGATGGAAACACTCGCAGCCACATCTCAGATGGTCAGTCAGCCCTGCAGCTCATGTTCCAAAGTGGGTTTCCTACTCCAGACCAAAGGGCCCTTTGTCTTTTGTTGAAAACAAAAGTTAATTTGCATTTGTTTCAAATATAATGTGTTCTTTTTAGGTTATTAGCTCATAGCGTATAGTCGTATTTGCATTTTTTAGATTTTTACAAGAATTTAGTTTATAGATTTGCCCCATTTAGAGAAGATGTAATTTGCTTCTCCTTTTGGAGAGACCTCCATTGAGCACTGCGTTGTGGTTGTCTAACGCCAACAGTCTACTGTATGAGGTTAGTTGGCATGGAAAAAGTCTGCTCCTTGCATGGAAAATTGAAATTCTTGGATTTTCATGAGTTTTTGCATGAGGCATTGATATTTTGAATGTTTTTCACTCGGTCAAGGTGCATGTTCCCTGCAGAATTAATTTGCTTACACTACTAAAGTTCACTAATACTAATAGTTATGTTCTTTTACATTCCTAACAACCTAACATCAGGAAGATGAGGAGGGAAGCTGGATAAGGTTGGAGTCTTTCTATAATATTTCTTCACTCTGTAGCAACAAAAAGCAATTGAGGATGTAAACTTGTGTGACCTGCTTTAGTAGGTGTTTTTCACACCTTAATTTATTCATAGTATCATTAATGACTTGAAGAATGTAATCAAATAAATCACAGGATTAAAGATTACATCTCATGGATAATTTTGAACATTTCCCATATGGGATCATGGAAATTACTTTGAACGAAGGTTGTTTTATTTATGAATAGAATCTTTTATACAAAGTCCCCTGGTTTAGGCAACTCCTGAGTTTATGTACATGTAGTTCGTTGCTGGGTTAGTTTTGTTCTAAAATGTACTGCTGAAAAAAATCATGAAATACACTTCTAAACCTTGAAAGTTGGCACGGGGCCTTTCCCTCTATGTCTTTATATTGTTATTTGACTAAGTACTGCCCTACTGTGTTGAGTTAAAGATCTTAGTAATGGAGTTCTCAGAAATTAAGGCTTATCACTTCACAGAGATTGAATTTCAGCTGCCTAACTCTTCACTACACAGAAAGCTCTGCCCCATGTTTTACAGTGTCTGAGTCAGATGACTTGGTTAAATTCCCAGCATCCCTCTGCCCTCTTGGGTCTTTGGTGGGCACAGTGCAGTACCAGGGGACTTGTAGTTCTTCAGCTTTTCCCAGGGGCACGGTATTCGGGGGCTCAGAAGAGTTAGCATATGTCTGAAAGCAAGTATAAATGAGTTAAGATTAGAATTTGCTGATTCCAAGATGATGCTTGAAACAGTTGCTTCTGTTTGCATTTCTAAAGGTTATTCAGTTATAGCACTTGGTTGTTTGTTTTGTTTGTTCTTTTGAAAAAAAGAGAGGTGGAACTTGGTGACACATATGGGTCATCCCAGGACTTGGGAGGTTGATCAAGCATGTTTGTTGCAAATTTGAGACCAGCATAGGCTACATAGTGAGTTCAAGGTCAGCCTAAACTACATAGTAAAATCCTGTCTCAAAATTACAAAAAGTTTAGAAACAAAAACTAAGAAGAAAGAGAATAGCTACTAACTGGGTTTCCCTCCCTGGGTTTAGATACTCCCTGCCTCTAGAATCGCTTAAATTCACCTAGTTAGAGGTCTCTCTACAGGACCAACAATGACCATCAGTGAATTAAGCAGTGCATTTCATAATTACGTAAGTTTCAATATATTCCAAAAGACAAAGTAGAATATGGTCACCACTTCAATATGAAATAGCATCAGAGACATAAAGTGTAGTTGAATAAGCTTAACATTTGCTTTTTGCAGTGACCATATAAAAGGGGCCCATGCAGAAGATTCCAGATTTACCCCACATGCAATGTTCTGCAGAAGCTTGGTGCACTTTGCCACCATCCTTTCCCAGACAGAGCTGCTAGGACAGAGCTATGCTAGCACAAAGCATTGTGCTTTGCCCGTGCTGGCACTGGGTGGCCTCGCTCCTGACTGAGCTTTGGAAGGAACACTCAAGTGTGGTCAGAACTGTTCGCATATCAGATGTAAGATATGACTGGCTGTGTAAGAAGGCTGTGCCAGCTGCCAGGAGCCATTAATGAGCAGGACAGCTGCAGTCCCACTCTCATGGAGCTCGCATTTTACTGACCTTGAGACTGAGCGTGACTTGTCCATGCTTGGAGCATGAGGTCCCTTTGCACACTTCTTCAGAAGGCTGTGGTGGCAGCCAGGGAGAGGAGGAGGCTCTCCCTCAAACTGAGTCTGAGCTGTCAGAATCTGCATTATCAGCAACTGCAAAAGTAGTAAACAGAGATATGGAGGGTTTGCTTCCGCACAGCTTTTTATTTGGAAGATTTCTTCTACTCATTAGAAGAGAGCATAGTCAGCAGGCCAGAAAACATCAAATATTCAGGCTGTGAGTCCCAGGCCCATGAAAGTATGACTCAAAGGACTGCATCATGGTAACATTGTTAGGTATCTTAATGGTTACCATAGTGGTATATTTGTCACTCATCATTTAAAGAAAGTTATGAAATCTTTTCTGTTAGAATTGGAACATTCCTCTTAGCTGAGCCATCCCTTGTATCTTGACTGGAACAAATAAAATACTAGAGTGGAATCCATTGTTCTAAACCAAACATGGAGGCCATGCATGGTGGTTTATGACTGTAATCCCATAACTCAGGAGGCTGAGGCTGGAAGATATCAACTTAGAGACCAGCCTGGGCCTAGTGAGACCCTGTTGTAAGGGGTTGGGGATGTAGCTCAGGTTAGAGTGCTTGCCTAGCAGGTATGAAACCCTGAGTTCAAGCCAGGAGAGGATGGATGGGAATGGATAGTTTTTATTTTAAAGGATTCCTCAATGTACCTTAGGATTCCTGTGAATGTAATTTAATCTTCCTTAGCTGGAGAGCATAACGAACCATTCTCTGTGAAGTGGTTGTATATCATGTCTATTTTTCATTGTACAGACCTTGGACATATTCTGTTGAATTGGTTGCTAAGGATTTTATGCAGTTTAGTGCCATTATATAAGATACTTCTAAAATCTCAATTTCCAGTTCATTTTGTATATTTAGAAATGTTAATTTTTGTGTATTCATTGTATATTCAGCAGCTTTGCTAAATTCATGTATAAATCCTAATAGCTATTTCATAGACTTTTTCAACAATGATAATCGTGTCATTTACTAATAAAGAGAGGTTTATGTCTTTCTCAACTCATGCCATTTTTATGTTTTTCCTGCCATTACAGTGGCCAGGTCTCCAGCACAGCCAAACATAAACGGTGACAGTGGACACCCCTTGTGCTTCTTTCCGTTCAGGGAGACATTTGGTCCCTCATTGTGAGGTTTTTAGCTGCAGGCTTTTGGTAGATGACCCTTAATAGATTGAGGCGGTGGGTCTTTCGTCCTAGAATGCTGAGTTTCATAACTGAATGATGGATCTTGTGCCACATAAGGTATTATGAGACATGGCTTTCTTTGCTGATCTCGTAATTGGGCAAATTTCATTGATTTTTTTTTTCCTCCTCAGTTGGTGAACCAACCTATTCCTGAGTCAGTAAACCTACTTACCATGATTCCTTATTTTTGGTGTAGTGCAGACTAGTCCCAAACTCGAAATACTTTTGTCTCAGCCTCCTGAGTGCTGGGTTTACAGGCATGCACCACCATACCACACCACAAAAAAGTACGTCCTGAAGCCAGATGTGATGATGCACCCCTGTAGTTGCCAAAACTCAAGAGACTGAGCCCAGAAGTTGGCTGTTATAATGTCCTATGACAATTGGGCATTAAACTAAGATGGACATCATACTAAGAGTGGCATCAATATCTCTTTGCATAGGGAGTGCTTGTGCATAGCCACTGCACTCAATCCTGGTAATATAATGGGAATCTCTGTCTTTAAAGGTTGTGGGGAGGGGCTGGGGATTTAGCTCAGTGGTGCAGCACCTGCCTTGCAAGCATGAGGTCCTGAGTTCAATTCCCAGTACCCCCCCCAAAAAAAAAAAAAAGAAAGGAAAAAGTGTAAGTTATATCTGGGTCAGATTGATTGACAGTATTGTTTTTGTCCGTAGCCTTCCTGATTGTTTTCCTTTTCTTAGTCCTTTTTGGTTTTTTGATTGGCACATTGAACCAGTTGTTAAGAGAGGAGTGTTGAAGTCTTCTAAATTTAATTGTATTTTTCTGTTTTTGTTCTTAGTCTCATTAGTTGTTCGTTTATCATTTTAAATTTACTTTTCCTGATTTTCAAATACACTTGTCATTTAGGAAGACAAAGTATTAAAAATAAAATCAAAACCAGCTAGAGCTCATTTGAATGATTTGAATTGATTCTTCAAACTTGTTCATGAGTCATGATCATTCTTTATTCCTATATTATTATATTGAAAACTAATTCAGAAAAGGAATTTATAGACAGGTATGATTTTTCTATAGCTTGGTAAATTGTCCTAAATGAGTCATAAAATTTTGCCAATATGATTTCTGTTGGATAAAACTTTAGGAATTTGAAAAGGTAGGAATGGGAGACCAAATATTTAGAAATTATGAAAAGCAATGTTGTCATTCATTTAGCCTTTAAGAATGTTGTCTAGATTAAAAATCTGAACTGATGTCACTCATTTGTTGAAATCAGACACTTGCATATGGGGACATGGACCACGAGTGGATTGGCAATGAGTGGCTGCCCAGCCTGGGCCTACCTCAGTACCGAAGCTATTTCATGGAGTGCCTTGTGGATGCTCGGATGCTGGACCACCTGACCAAGAAAGACCTGCGGGGGCGGCTGAAAATGGTTGACAGTTTTCACAGGTGAGGCAGTGCAAGTGGTTCTTCCTAACGGATCAAGAGACTTCACATTGCCACCGTTAAATAACCCCTTATTTTGTAAATAGGAACAGCTTCCAGTGTGGACTTATGTGCCTGAAAAGGTTAAATTATGATCGGAAAGAACTGGAAAGAAGAAGAGAAGAAAGTCAGGATGTAGTTAAAGGCAAGTACATTATGCCGGATGGATGCAGCACATGCCTGCTGCCTCCCAGGCAGCCTGGGTGATTGCCTGTTTGAAAAAGTATAGCAGCCAGCTGAGCTGGCACATACCTGCAATCCTAGCACTCTGGGAGGATATAGCAGCAGAGTCACAAGCCTAGCCCAGGCAGCTTGGACTCCGTGAAAACTTCTCTCAAAATGAAAAGTATAACAGGGCTAGAGATGCAGCTCAGTGCAAATCCCTGTGTTTATTCCTGAGTACCTCAAAAAGAAATCAAGGGCTTAGTGATAAGGCACTTGCTTACCACTTGCATTGCCCTGGGTTTGATCCCTAGGACTGAAAAAAAAAAAAAAAAAGCACAAAATAATCATACATTTATCTGGGAATTACACAAATTACAGTTCCAGCTACTAAGAATACTAAGGCAGGAAGATCACAAATTCAGGGCCGACCTGGCAATTTAGTGAGACCCTGTCTCAGAACACTAAAACTAGATTTGAAAATTAGGGGTGCTAAGAACGTAGTTCAGTGAAAAAAGACTTGCCTAGCATGCTCAGGGCTCTGGCTTCTGTCTCTAGTACCACAAAAAAATAAATCAGGGAAGACTTTTAAGTGGAAACAACTGGCTTGGCATGATAACAAGAGGAGGGATGAAAAGGGGTGCCCTGAGACAGTGTGTGCTTATCTCAGTCTGTAGGCTACCCTCTTGGTGCTGGCATTCTTTCATGTAGTTTTCCTTTTGTTGTTGTACACTGTATACGCTCTCTCAGAGATGCTGCCTTATGCTATTAGATCAGAGCAAGGCAAACAAGCCACTGCCTTTTGCTTACTGGATAGAGGTTAAAACTACAGCTTTGGGAGCTTTTTCTAAGGCCTGTGGCAGCATGCAGGGCACACAGTTCTGCTCCCAGAGGGAGGGAGAGGTCAAGGCAACCAATAGCCTAGCACCCATAATTTTGTAATTTATTTATTTATTTTGAGACAGAATTTCACTAAGTACCCTGGTCTGGGATTACACCTGTGACCCTCCTGCCACAGCACCCATACTAACTGGGATTGCAGTCCTTACAGAAACCACAGAGTGTCCTGTGGGCAAAGGAAAGACATGTCAGAAACAGGCCAGGAGGAAGGAGAGGGCATGGCAGCCCCCTCAGTATGACAGGGACAGGCATCTTCTCTGAAGACAACACTGAATGTCATGCTCACGAGAGTCTCTCAGAATTCTCGGTAGTTACTAATAGCACTGCAGTGATGAGAAGAAATGAGACTTACTGAATAATGATCAAGCACTGTGTCAAGTCTTCCATAGTTGATTCATTCAGGCTGCATCGTGGTTCTGTTATTTTCATCCTCATTCTGATGTCTTTTTCTAAATAAAATAAAGGATTATCTATTGGCCAGGGATGTAGCCCTGTGGTAGGACACTTGCCTAGTCTGTGCAAGGCCTGGGTTTTAATTCTTTTAAAACAAAGAATACGTTGAGGTCTATTTAGAAAAGAAAGTCATGGCCGGGGATATAGCTCAACAACAGAGCGGCTGTCTGGCAAGTGCAAGGTCATGAGTTTGATCCCTGGTACCAAAACAAAGTTGAGAAAAAAAAATCAGACATGAAATGTATTAATCCATTTAATTTGTTTTCTATATCCCCTCTCCATATTTTGTCAGTTGGCAAAAGCAGTCTTTGAAAAGATTGGTGGTCAGATATATTTTTACAGAGTGGCAATTTTTTGGTCTGTAATAGAATACATTTAATAATTATCTTTGTATGATATACGATTGCCAAAATCTAGTATGCTGGAATGTCTTTAAAATTCTTTCTTTGTAATATATTAAGATGTTGATATGACCAAAGCTTCAGAAGCACAGGGGCTGGGGTATGGCTCAGTGGCTTAGCACCTACCTGGTAAGCACAAGGCTCTGAGTTTGATTCCCAGTACAACAACAAGAAAAAGTAAAAGAAAACGAAGGTCAGAAGGTCAGAAGCAAAGAGTTTGTGTTGAACTCAGCAAGGTATCTGAACTGTCATGGTATCTGCCCCTTTCATGATGGAGAAGCATTTCAGGAGACTCTGGGGTCTGTGTAGGAAACATGCTTATACGTGCTAGGTCTGACTCTGACCCTCAGCCTGATGTTTTTGCAGTCTTAGGATTGAACCCCAGGCCTTGTATATACTAGGCAAGTGATCTGCCACCAAGCTACATCCTCAGCCAATCATGCTGTATTGTTCCCTGAATATATCCTATCCACAATCTTACTGTGACACCTGAGTGCACTAGGGGAGGCTTCTAAAGGGAAAGTTTTTATTAGAATGAGGCAGAACCAAAACAGCTGTGTCTAGGTGTGTGTCTGTCAGTATTTGTGAGTGTGGAGTCCATTTTCAGGAGCTGAGGGATCAAGATCCATGCTAGGAATCTTTCCCCTGCATTGCAGGACATGTATGATGAAGAGGTTTTCTGAAGCCACATTTACAGTTGTTTTGTTCTTTCACAGATGTGCTTGTTTGGAGCAATGATCGAGTGATTCGCTGGGTCATATCCATTGGCCTTAAAGAATATGCAAACAACCTCATAGAGAGTGGGGTTCATGGCGCACAGCTGGCCTTAGATGAAGCCTTCGATTACAACACATTGGCCCTGTTGTTACAGATCCCGACAGAGAACAGAAAGGTGACAACGGAGTCTGTGCCTCTGTCTGCTTAGCCACAGTGTTCGGTTTTTCTGTGATTCTAGAATACTTATTTTTCATTTGAATGGAGAGAAAATTTAACTCTAGACAACTAGTAATCACTTTCCATAACTAATCTATAATATGGTAGTTCAAAATAAGCAAATGCTTGATTTTTCACTATCTTTTCTTTCCAGTTTGTGTTGCAAGCATGTGAGTCTTTGAAGTCTTTGTTTTAAAAAATTGTAATGTGTAACATCCTTCAGATATATTTAGTTGTTGTTTTGTTACTTCAGGCTCGAAATGTCTTGGACAAAGAATTTGCCGACCTTTTGGTCCTTGGGACTGTCAGACGTTTTGATGTTGTAAGTTTTCAGCTTTTTTCTCCTCTCACTGCTAGGAATCAACCTCAGGGCTTCACATATGCCAGTTGAGTGCTCTACTACTGATCCTTGCTCTTGGTCCACTACTTAATTTTTGGCAACCTTCAAAAATTATTTCTATATTGTCAAACAGATTGCAGCCTGCGATCAAAGTCTTAAGTTGTGTTTTGGTGACAGCTGACTGTCCTGCCCCAGTTCTTCTGTTTGGAAGGCTTCTTTCAAAAGTATATTAAATTTCCCCTCATGCTAAATCATGACTAACCTGTTGCCATACATTACGATTGTCTTCAGTGAGCTCCAAGAGTACTTGATTTTCACAAAGAAGATGGAAGCTGAATCTGGAAGCAAAGCATTTGTTGGATTATTTGTAGCCAGAATATTTTGAAAATAAATAAAAGTACACTATATAGCAGGCAAGAGCTTGTCCACAGTAAGAAATAAAATATTCCGATGGGTGAGAAAATCACATCCCTGGTGCCCAGGACTGCCCTCGTTTCTCCAGTTGGGGCCCAGCAGGAATGTAATCATGTTTCCTCTCACACTGAAGTTCCAGTGTGTGCAGCACATTGGAAGGTCACCAGGAAAGGCTAAGTAAAGCAAAACAGTCAGGGGCTTAGGAGTCCTTCTGAAGGACAGTTATCTTTATTAGAGTGTGCCTGTTCTGTGTTTTCATTTGCCAGGAGGATGACAAACACTTTAGGAGAGCACCTTCATGGAGAGAGAAGGTTAGAGAAAAGGCCATTCACGGCGTGGCAACTGGGTCATCAGAGACACTCCCTGCAAACTTCCGAGTCTCTTCTTCCAAGTCTTCCCGCTCTGTGCAGCCCAATGAGATCCAGATGGATGGTATGTGGTGGGCCATGTAATGCAACACTGGCTGGGAGCATGTGCGCGCTAATAATTACCTAGAGTGGCCATTGTATGTGTTACAAAGCATCTGAGTTTGGTTGCATGCCCAGGTGTCAATGGTTCAGGATTAGCCCTAACATTTGTTGGAAAATGGTTAACAACAATAATAGAATTTTTTAAAAATCTGTCTGGTTGAACCTTAGCATCCTTGCCCAACTAATAAAGTGGAGCACCCATCTGTGCTCTCAGGGCTGAGGCTGATGCACCTGTGGGGTGCAGTGTGTGGCAGGCAGCACTGGCTTGCCAGGAAAATTGCAGTGTGACACTTGGGACTTCTCTCCACACTAGAAGAAATGGCAGAGTAAACTTTAGCTCACAACTTCCAGCTTCTGCCAACTCTGTCTTTCCTTTTCCCTTCCCTCCAGTGTTATCTTTCCATATACTTACCTTGTGCCACCTGAAGAGGGACAGGGAAGAAGGCAGAAGCCTTGTGGAGACCGCTAGGGCAGCCCTGCTGCCTTCTCAGTGAGAGATGGCAAGGCATTGACCTTTCCAGTGCAGTCGGGATGGCCCTTATGTAACTGCTGACTGAAGAGTGCAGTTGGCTGAGAGGAGACCTTGAGTCCCTGACAGTCCTGCCCACCTAGTAAAAGGCACTGATAGGGTCCTGAGAGAGCCCACATCCACATCCAGCTCTTGTGGTAGCAGGGACATGACCTTGAGCAAGTCATGCAGCTGTGCCTCAGTTTCCATATCTGTAACTTGGGCATCATAGTAATGTGATTTTGATGCTTCAATGTGTCATGTGGGTGAAGCTGATGGAGTCCTGAGCCTCGTGCATTGCTGACAATCTCAGTGTTAGGTGGAGACTTCATTCCTTCTCATTCCTGATGTACATGGTTGTGCTGTATAAACTGTACCAGTGGGGTTGTTACAAGTTTCCTGTTGTTAGCCCCCTGTGTAGGTAGTTTTCCTTTTTTCTCTTTCTTGCCTGTATGAAAATCAGAGAAAAATACATTTATATAAACTTTTTAAAGCTGAACACTTTCCAGTGTGTCTTTTAACTAGTAAGTTCTTAAGAATTAACACTTTCTCCCTCAAGGTGTCTTACAAATGTTGGCAAGGCATGGAAGTGCATGCCTGTAATTCCAGTACTTGGGAGGCTCAGGCAGGAAAATCATGAATCTGAGATGTATGTGAATCATAAATCCAGGTTAAGGCTATACTGAGCTTCATAGGAAGACCTTGTATCATAAATAAAATAGATAAGTAAGTAAGCTGTGACGAGCCTTGAGCTTAATTTCCATTGGCTTACTAAATAGTCTAAATGAGTACTCTGTTGTTTTCCCTGTACCTTCAATTTCTGTTTCACTATAAGAATCACATTTTCTCTCTGAACATTGCAAGCAATATTAACATAGCTGGGTGTGGAGATCACCTGTAATCCCGGCACTGGGGAAGCTAAGGCAGGAAGGTTGCTGAGAGCTCAGTACCAGCCTCGAATTCACAGGGATTGTAGGGCCAGTGTGAACTACACAGGGAGACCTTGTTTCAACAAAACAAAACAAAAATAAAGGGTAGTATTAATGAGTTTGTTTGTTGTTGATTTGTTTTTTTGGTGGCATTTTTGTGGTTGTGGTTGTTGTTTTGGGGTTTGGGGTGGTACTGGGGAGGGAGCCTTCTACCTGTACTACACACCACCCCTTCTTTTATTATCCAGAAAGGGTCTTGTTGTCCAGGCCTGGTTTGAACTTGGAGTTTTCCTGCCTCAACCTCCCAGAGTGCTAGGATTACAGGCATGTGCAGGCAAACTGTGTAACACTAAATTTAAATGGATTGAATAGAAAAAGTTGTCAGGGTAAATTACATAGAAGATGTCTATGCCACATTGGTAAGAAGGTGGACTGTTACAAATGACTTGCGAGGTGGAGAGTATAAGATAAATTACAGCATGTCTCCTAGACTTTAGAATGAAGGTTTACAATGACTGCCCAGTCTTACCAACACGGCCAGCTATCTGTCTTTTCTAGAGCTATGGCAAGATGTTGCTAAGAAGTATTCCTGGTATACTTGCAGGAAAACAAAACACTGTACAACTGGGAGTGTAAATATCTGCAGAAGATGTTGCAAGCTCTTTACCCAGTTTGTGACAGGGCTGTACTGCCTGTTTAGCCACCCAGTGTTTGTCAAACAAGGACCCCTGCCTCCGTGTTCTCCATCCTTTTTTGTAGAAACTGAGACAAGCTTTAGTCTTCTGAGAAGCACTGGCCATGGCCTCTGGGCTGTGCCTCTTTGCCTGCAACCCACCCTGAGAGCAGTGCCTGCAGAGCAGCTGGGGTTCCCTCCTCCCCTTCGTGCTGCTGATTCACCCCATTCATTCCTGGAGGTCTAGCTGTAGGGCACAAGGAAAAGTCCAGTTGCTATATCAAAGTGTGGCTTAAGGAGCTGCAGAGTAGCTATGTTAGGTGGTTGTCCTCTCTGTATGTGCACACTGAGGTGGTTTGCACTTCCAAGGGGCCCTATTGCTATTTTAGGTGCCAGTGTCCCCTTGGGTGGTGACAGAACCACTCTGGGCAGCCCTCTGATGCTCTTGCCTCACTCTCCCAGGCAGTCTTAGGATTCCTCAGTAGACACCATTGTAGGTGTGGAGATGTGTGTCTTACCTGTGCCCCGTGTGAAGTGTTAAAACTAACAGCACTTTGTTTTTGCACACTTCCTCTCATGGTTGTTGGAACAGGCAGTGTATCAGAAACACAGAAGTTGGATTCTGCGACAACCAGGACTTCCTCCTGTTAAGCCTCCTGTTGGTGAGTAGAGAGCAGCGTAATCCCTGGAGATCATCCCTGTACAGCAGGGTGAAGCTGTAACAGGGCTAACAGTGTGGGTTTAGACCATGCCAATTTACATGGGGAACTTCAAAATGACAGAAATAGTAGCTCTGTACCCATCAAGGCGATTTTGGTTTTTAGCTGACCATAAAGAGGGCTGTGTGTCATTTTTGTTCTGTTAACTTTTATTTTTATTAGTAAGTTAGTTGTACTTAAATTCATCATGGAGAGTTGGTACCTGTACTAGGACATCTTAAATCTTTTTACCTCCCCTCTCCTGTGTCCCTTGTGTCTCCAGTTTTAAAGAAAAACACGTTCGTCCCCATTTTTTCCTAAAAGCTAAAAATGCCTACTCACTTGAAGTGATGATCTGCTGATGCCATTGTTGGGGGGTGGGCAGGAAAGCAGCAACTGAGGAAAAAAGCACCCCAAAAGCTGACCACACCAGGAGGCCAGAGCCTGAGATTGGGAAGCATCTCTTCCACTGTGTTTATACACAGTGGTACACAGCTCCTATACTGGCTTTGTTACAAACACACATGTACGCACACATATATGGGGAATTGAACCCAGAGTGTTCCCACTGTGCTATATCCCTAGCACCCCATCCCCTTTTTAGTGGGGACAGGGTCTTCCTAGATCATCTAGTCCTTGTTCAAACTTGCAATCTTTCTGCCTCAGCCTTCTGACATACGGGATTGCAGACGTGCCACCATACATGGCAGACATTTTAAACACAAAGCTGCATTGCCATGCCTGGGCGCCAGTGAGCCACTTGTGTCCTCATGGTCTAGAGCTCTGACTGACTGATGGCAGAGGTGTCATTGACCCGTGATCAGAACCCCAGCTGGAGCTCTGCCTACTGTGCTTGTGTTCAGTGCCTCAGCTGGAATCTGGGATGGGCTCCATAGTCTTTTAACTTTAACTTTTAAAACTGTCACAAAATGTAAAACCTCTCTAGTCCATGAGCAGGGTCCTCAGTGTTCTGCCTGCTGACGCTCCAGCAGGGAGGAGGCAGGAGGCCTGGGGAAGTGGGCCCCAGCGTGTGTGTCTGAAGTCATGGTCCTTTTCCAGGTGGTTTGTGTTAAGAGAGGCTTTCTGTTTGTTTTTATCTTCCAGTTTTCCTGAACTACTTCTACAGATGATATGCAGCATTTGGAATCCAACAGAGACTACATTTTTTAATTCAGTCGAATCGCTATCTGTTAATACTTGTTATATGGAGTCCTAAGATATTTTATAACAGAGTTTTTAATTAGTGAAAAATTCATCAATAACATAGAGAAAATATTTTAGAATTTAATGTTTCTTCTATTTTTGTAAACTTAGGACTTTTCATTTATATAGTTACTTACTTTTTCATCTATGTTTAGATATCTCTGGAAGCAATTCATGTTCTTATATCTAATTTTAGTCTTTCAAATGAATGTACTGTAATGCTTGTATGTATAAACCGTATGAACAAATACACGGCTTTTGTAAATTGTGCACATATTGTAATTATTACTATTTAACTTTTTAATGATAAGCCATCCCTGAAAAAATTAGTTTACTACACTTTTTTTTTTAATTTTGTTACTTTTTTTTTTTTTTTTTGGTCTTTTTCCTTTTTATTGGTACCAGGGATCGAACTCACGACTGCCTGCTTCCAAGGCAGGTGCTTATGCCGCTGAGCTAAATCCCCAGCCCCTTTTTTTGTCTTTTTTGTTTTTATCGGCACTAGGGATCAAACTCAGGACTGCCTGCTTGCAAGGCAGGTGCTTATGCCACTGAGCTAAATCCCCAGCCCAGTTTACTACATTTATAAAATTGTTGTGACATAAGCAATGTGCATTATCCTTCACCTTGCTCTACATCAGTCATTTTAAAATCAGGAGACTTCATTCCAAGCAGTTGTCATATTTTGAGGTTGACTGACCTTAACTGTTCTTTTTTTAGCAAGAAATCAGAGTCTAATAAAGTCGGGACTGAACCGTTGCACCAGAGCACTATAGAACTTTCTTAGCACTGGTTCCCTTTTCCCCATCCTGTCTCTGGACTTGGGGAGCTTGTCTTCAGAGACTTGACCAGAAGCCATGAGCTTGGAGCTGCTCTCAGCAGGGCTGGAGTGGCCAGGGGTGGACCCCAGCCTGGCACCTTCCCTGCCTCTTTCCTGTGAGCATGTGGAAGGTGCCTCCAGCTATTCTTAGAGGACCAATCACTGAGCACTGTGCTCACATCTCACAGACATTGGTGCATGAGCAGATGAGAGCAGGAAACCCTGAAAATAAAGTTGTACAACTCTAACTAATCAAGGCCTTATTTTTCATATGTCAGTCACCTTTTTACATTGGTTTATAAACATGTTTCAACTAGTCATACATTTTTAGATTTTGATGACATAGCCATTTTGGATTGAACAAGTAGCAAAAGCAACTTGCTTTTCACTGGCATATTAAAAAGCCAGCAAGGAAGGAGTCAGATCAGGGTGCATGTTATTTATTGTGCAACTGATACATGGGTAGAGGCAGCATGCCTTTTTAATTTAGTTTATGCAGGGGCTGGGGATTTAGCTCAGCGGCATAAGCGCCTGCCTTGCAAGCAGGCCGTCGTGAGTTCGATCCCTGGTACCGATAAAAACGAAAAAGACAAAAAAAAAAAAAAAAAAGAAAAAAAATAATTTGGTTTATGCATACAATTCACTTGTACAATCCATATTACTGCCCTTTTTCTATTAATTTTTGTGGAATTTTCTGAGTATGTAACAAAGTATACAGTCATATACATATATATACTTTTGAACTATTTTAATCACAGTATTATTTATTGCTTTCTTTCAATAAAGTTCTGAATCATTTTTCACTGCCAATGAAGAGTTCTTTGAATAGGCCAAGATTTTGTTAAAAGTTAAGTGCGGCTGGAGTGTGTGTGTGTGTGTGTGTGTGTGTGTGTGTGTGTGTGTGTTACCAGACATCGAACTCATAACCTCATGCTTGCCAGGCAGGCACTCATGACACTGAGCTAAATCCCTGTCTCAGGCACAGCTGTTTTGCTTCCTGCTCCAGGCAGGTTCTCTGAAGGTAGTGTCGCTATGGAAATCACCGGACAGAAAGCTGGATGACATAAGTGTAGCTGGGCATGAGGCAAGAGAAGATGGGGTCCTGCTGAAGATTGGGCCTGGTTAGACCAGGGCGGGGAGGCGCCCCCAGCACAGTTGGGGGTGGGACACTGACAAGCTCAGCTTTGCCTGCTGTGTCAGACCCTTTGTTCATACAGTGTTACCCTCCTGTTTTCAAGTTTCACATGGCGCATCTCAGAGTAATCATGGGTTTGAGCTCTTGGTTCTCAGCCTTTTCCCCTGCAAACTGTGTGTTTTTGAATGGGGTTTGCAGAGCAGAGAGAAGAGGCCAGACTCTCCAGCGTTCCTTGGTGTGTCCCTGGGTGGTAGGTGAGTAGATGGCCCATATCCTAGTGCTATTGCTGCTGCTATTCTGGACACCCACATATCACTTAATGCATTTCAAATATCCCACATGCATTTATGTCTCATTTCCTGGCCTTAATTCCCTAGTGACAATGATTAGTCAGTGATTTTGCCTTCCAGTCATCTGTCGTATTTCATGAGGGAATTTACCCCAAGGATCCCAAGAGCCATGGCTGCTCGGGCCCTGGTACCCGACGCTGGGACCCCACGGTGAGCCCTGCTTTCCCCACAAAAACAGGTCCCAGAGACTGAGACAACTTGTCTCCAGCTTCCAACCCCTAGCCTTCATTTTCCTGGTCCTCCTCCCAAATTCACATTTTGGGGGGGTGGTGTCAATGTTTCACTATCTTTTTCGTTTACCTTTAAAATTATGACTTTTTTTTTTCTTTTGGAGACAGAGTCCACTATGCAGTTCAGGCTGGCCTTGACCTCACAGCTGTCCTCCCACCTCAGCCTCCCCAGTGCTGGAATTACAGGAGTGCGGCACCCTGCCCAGCTGTGTTTATGAGTTTTTATGGCTCTGCTGTAGTTCTAAAGTTTGCTACCTCTCATCGATGACTTTAGACCACTTACATTTAGTATTACTGATATTATTTGAGTACATCTACCATTTTATTTTTTATGCATTTGTATTTAGTCTATAGTGCCTTTCCTGGGTTCTTTTTTTTTTTTTTTTTTTCTGGTCTTTTTCGTTTTTATCGGTACCAGGGATCAAACTCACGACTGCCTGTTTGCAAGGCAGGCGCTTATGCCACTGAGCTAAACCCCCAGCCCCCTTTCCTGAGTTCTTTTGGGTTTTTGGCCATTTTTAGCGTTCCATTCAAATCCTCTTTCATTCAGCGTTTGGCTATGGAAAAACAAAGACTAAATCTCAGCCTCTGCCACAATAGCACGCTAATCGTGCAGTCTCACAACATGCAGGGGACATGCGTGTCACTCCACATGCACCGCACTGCCGAGGCCCGCCTTTGACAGAAACGCCAACCCGCGTTTAAGGTGGTTTCTTTGGCAATCCTCAGGCAGCTCTTGCTAGATGCCAGGCTGGTTCTGAGAACTTTCCAGGCTACCCAGAGTTGGTATTTGCCACTTTGAGTTGAGCATAAAGATCTTAACCCCATGCCAGCGCCTGTTAATGCATTTGTCATCGTGTCAGATGTACACAAATCAAAAGGTCCTCAGAAATGCCACAGTTTTCACTCTCAACCCTTGTACTGGAGGGAACTTCGGACGGAGAAGTCTGGTGTAGTGATCCACAGAGCACTCCCCTGTCACAGCAATGCCCCCGGCTTCCTTCCAGTGTATTTCCCTCTGCCCAGGAGCATCCTATGGGATTGCTGTTAGAGTCACTTTGCTGGCAATGACGTCCTTCAGTTTTTCTCCACCTGAGGACATCTTTCGTTCACCTTTATTCCTAAACAATACCTTTATGGAAGATGGAATTTTTGGCTGGGCTTTATTTTTTTTCTTGTAGCACTTTAAAAATATCGTTCCACTTCATGATTTCTGATGATAAATCTGTAGTCAGAGCTGGGCGTGGCGGGATATGTCTGTAACCCCAACACTCAGGAAGGCTAAAGCAGGAAGGTCATTAAATCTGAGCCTGGTGTTGACAACTTAGTGACTTAGTGAAACCCTGTCTTTATTTGTTTAGTTATTTATTTTTTTTATTTTTTAAAATGCAACCTTCAGGCTGGCCTTGAGCTCACTTTGTAGATCAGACTGGCTTTAAACTCACCAGAGATCCTCCTGGGTCAGCCTCCCAAGTGCTGAGATTAGAGGCATTCGCCACCATGCCTGGTGTTTCGAGGCCCTGTGTTTAGATTAAAAAAAAATTTTAAAAGGCTGGGCTATAGCTCAGTGTGAAGGCCCTGGGTTCAGTCTCCAGTAACCACACACACACACCACACCACACACCACACCACACCAAAAGTTCTCTCTCTGTCTTTAGCTTTAGTAGTTTGGTTATGACAATTCCTGACCTTATCTTGTTTGGTAACTGAGCTTTTTGAATCTTCACCTGTGTCTTTCACCAAACATGGGGAGTTTTAACCATTTATTTCTGACCAAAATGTTCTCTAACTGTACTCTTTCCTCCTTCCTGACAGGAACGTTAGCTCCTTAGTATTGTACCACAGAGTCCTGAGCTCGTTTCTTCATTGTTTAAATCTCTTTCCTTTCTGTTGTTCAGACTGGGCCGTTTATATTGATCTGCCATTTACATTGTTATTGAGTCTACTGATGTATTGGGTTTGCCACTGGATTTTGTCATTTCGGTTATTTTTTTATTTGTTTGGTACAGGGATCGAACCAGGACCCTGTGCTTGCCAGGCAGAGCCGTGCGGCTGAGCCAGATCTGTACTGTCATTTTGGCTGTTACACATTTCCTGCCTCTAAAATCTCAGCTTGGCTCTGCGTGTGATTCATCTGCTCCCGCTCCGAGGTGGTCTGTCTCTCTGTTCATCGCTCAGGAGTTTGCCCTTTCTTTTCTAGAGCTGCCTATAATGGCTGCTTTTGTGTCTCAGTATCAACTGTTGTGTCCTCTTGGAGCTGCTACCTCTTGATTTTCTTTTTGTCTTTTCCCTTTGGAGATACTGAGATTCTCGTTCAGCTCCAAAGATTGAGTAACTTTGGCTTATATCCAGACCTCAACAAATAGTGTGTGATGGGACAGGATTCTTGCTTAAATCCTATTTGAATACTGATTTTTCACTTGCTTTAGCAGGAGGCCTGCTTGCTGGGGGCCAGGCTGCAGGTTTGTCTCTCTCCTCTCAGCTGTGGCTTCAAGATCACTTCCATTTGTGAGGCTTTGCACTGCTGTCTTGGACTGAAGGCCAAACTGGAGCTCCATAGCTCAGTTCTGAAATCCCTGGGTATTAGCACAGTCAGCTTTAGGGTAAGTTAGGTAATGACACAGGGAGACATAGTAGCCTTCTGTACTTGACTAGAGCAGAAACCACTCCAGCTTGTGATTCTGTGCAAGTGCTTTTCTTGTCACCCACTCATTTGCCAATTTTCTGTCTCCCCATCTGCGCACCTCTCTAGGATGTGAGCTTCAGAGTAGCAGGAGCTTTGTGCCTGTGGGGAACCAGGACATCGCACCACCTTTAGGGCTGCCTGGCCCACTGAGCATGCTCTGTAGAGGTTCGGAGTGATTTAGTCTCCCCTCCTAGTCTTCAGGGCTCTGGAGACAGCCGCCCGTCTCTTTTCAACTCCTCTTCCTCAAACTCTTGCCCCGTCAACACACGGCTCTACACATCGCTCAGAAGCAATCTCCAGGTTGCCTGGTACCAAAGGGTCAGGCCCAGAGAAAGCCAGAGATACCTGGTGGAAGAGCAGACAGCACTATCTGTAAGGGGGATTACTTCCATCGAATGTGTCAGAAAATCCCCTCCGATCAGCTGTGACAGGGAGAGAATTTATTGCTTTGGGTCAGTGAGAAATCCAGAGGTAATGCTGGCTCTGCGTGAGACTCGGTCTGCTGACTCAAATGTGCTCCCAAGGTGGGGAAGTTGCAGGTAGAGAAGGACATGAAGGTCGGTCCGTAGGGGCCCCAGACGTCCCCGACCCTGGCTCCCCTGCTAAGGAGCAGGACAAGCTCTCCCTCTCCATGTCTCCCTGGCTCTAGCCTGCTGCTGTCTCACAGATCAAATTCACCCAACTGTCAGATGGGGTAGGCGAGTGTAGCGGGGGTGGACTCAGGAGAGGCTGAGTGACGTGGTGTTTGTAGTGTGTATCACAGCTAGGGTGTGCATGAGCTTCAGGCTCCAAAGACGACAGCTGCCAGGAGAGAAGAGGGACTCTGTGGGCGAAGAGCTCAGAAAGCAGGAGCCGTGTGCATTGTGTGTATATGCGCGCGCGTGTGTGTTTCCCCATTTTGGCCTCCGTGAGAGGACAAAGGTCTGCCAATTTACTTATTGCTGGCAAAGCTGACATAAATGGGCAGGTGAAGGTCCAATCTGCTTTTCAGACACCCAACGCCACCACGTCCTACTGCACCTTGGTCCAGGCCACATCGCCCTGTCCTCAGCCTTGCCCCACGAAGTCCATCTGGCTGCTGTGTTCAGATCTCCAGCCTTCAGATGGCAGGTCTGGATTTGAGTCACTCATTCTTGAGTTTCCCAGGAGGATGTGGGGATTCATCTAAAAATGTACCTGAATCCACAGGTCCCCAGGGGCAGCTGGGGAGTCAGTCCACAGAGGACGTGTCTGGGTAGGAAGAACACTGGCACACTTCTGCTCTGTGTTGCCACAGTGCTACCCATTCCCTGGCCGTGGCACTGTTGGAACTTGAATGTAATGGCAGGGCGCAGAGATGCAGGGGTCTTCGAGCCACCTGACTGCCCTGCACAGTGACAAAGCCCTCTGCTGGCAGATAACACCTCCAGCTCTTCACTGAACAGACAGGCTTCCCAGCTGCTCCTGAGCCCACGCTCCTCTGCCAGCTGTCACTGATGGCGCTGGTTCCATTTGGGCTGTTCTGACCTCACACACGAGACCACAAAATCACAGAGCTCTGAAATCGTCCTCCTCTTGGGCTGCCACCCCTCATCACGCTGAGCACCAGGCTCAGGAACTGCGAGGAATTTCACCTGCAGTGGATCTGATGAAAAACACTCGGCTGGTGCCAAGAGGTCTCGAGGCTGGGGAGGAACAGGTCCTGCCCCATCCCTTGCCACGGTCCTGCAGTAGGGAGTCCCAGCCCCAGGGCAGGCCACAGTGACAGTCACTGCAGGCGCGTCATCAGCATGGGCCGCAGGTCACCCCATTGCTATTCACCCGCCCAGCTCTCAGGTCAGCTCAGGGTGGCCTAGCCTGGCTCATTGACACCAAAGTGCCAGAACTGGTTTTCAGGATGTTTCTCGCTCCTTGACAGTGCCTTCCTGTTTTGGAAGCTAGAGGAGCATTTGAAAAAGAGGTTTCATTTTTTTAAAAAAAAAATCCCACCAAGAGTCCACGGGTTGAAGAGAAGGTGGTCAATCGGTGGCAGAGACATCTGTCCCCTCTACTCAGACTAACATGCCACGACCCTCAGATTTTGGCCTCAGCGACACTGAAGCTGTTTTCTCTCCAGTCCCTGTACTTTTCTCATGTGTCAGAAACTATGACATTGTCCAGGCGCATGACACATCTTCAGAGCAGCCTGGATGAGTCTGGAAACACACCCTCAGGCCAGTTCGTCCTCTCTGATTCCATCCTGGGAAAGGATCCACCAGCACGGTCAGTGGTTAAAAACAGAAAGGCAGAACCTAGGAAATAAAGATTCTGCCGAGAAATGAGTCACAGGGGGGGTTCACACAGCTTCCTGTTCCTTCCGGAGAGGACCTTGGGGATGACGAGACAGCCACTCAGCAACAGTGTAGGAACAAGTCCCTGCTTCTATGGAGGGCATGGTCCTGGGGACAGGAGGCTGTCATCTAGAGGTGTCCCAGGGGGCTATGTGGTGATGGCAAAGGTGTCTTGGGCATCATCAGCACCTCATCTGTCACTGAGGGAAGACGGGAGGGTGGAGGGAGGGGTCTCCCCAAACTCACTCTCAGAGACATTGTGAAGCCTCTTTTCCAAGGCCAGGTTCTGATGATCACTGCTGTGGCCGGTGACCCTCCATGCCATGCCAATTTCCAAGACTAAGGACTGCGTGGCTTGAGGGTAGAATTTAGGTGTGTCCCCAAACCTCCTGTGTTGGAAGCTTGGTCCCCTGTGTGGTGATGTGAGGAGCTGCCAGGACCCTTAAGAGGTGGGGGAGGGAGGGTTAGGGCAGTTGGTTGGATCTTGGGGTGCTGCCCCCAGCAGGGATGAAGGCAGGTCCCATGGGGGCAGCTCTTGGCAGGGCAGAGCAAGTTGGGGACAAGTGCCCTCCCTGCTCTGTGGGTTGCCATCCTGCCTGCCGTGAACTCCAGTGGCCTTTGCCAGAGCCTAGCGGATACTGTGCCGCTCCCTGAAACTCCATGGCTGTGAGGTAAACACCTGTTTTCTCTGTAAGTGACCCTGCTTAGGTATCCTGTCATAGTGGTAGCAAATGGACTCATACAAGGACCAAGTTTAGCTTAAGGGTTAACTAGGATGTGGTACAGAAATTTAACAACCTGACAGATCTCTAAACATACCTGCCTCTTTTATAGCAGAATGCTGTAAAAAATCTCTAATGGTTCTAAGAGTTGAGGTTACACCCTTTCCCAACCAACCTGTCATACTTTTCTTCAAATAGTGTCCTCAGATTTTATTTGCACACAGTTCTTAAATGCTTGCATCTCATGAAGAGAAAATGACACCCGGTCTTCAGTGTGCATCAGCCGTGCTACCCACTAGCTCTGATCTCAGGCGAGGATCTCATGTGCTGGCCTGGGCACAGCAGTAACAGCAGTAACATGGAGAAAACCAGGTCTTCCTGCTGCAGTGGTGGTGAAGACCACTGAACCAGCCAGAACAGTGCCAGTCGCACAAAAGGCACTCCATCAATGCCGGCTGGTTCCACTCATCAGCTGCTACCATTAATTACAACAGCAAGGCTGGACTTCTGCCAGCAGCCACAGGTTTATCTGAATGGAGAAAGACCCGATTAGCTCATCTCTGTACTCTGGAAGGGTGAGATAATCCCACTCTCCAGGCTTGATTTCTTTTTTTTCTTTTTCTTTGGCACTGGGAATTGAACTCAAGACCTTTCACTTGCCAGGCAGGTGCTTATGCCTCTGAGCTGTATTCCCAGCCCCTTGATTTCTTTTTGACAGAACACACATATTGATTTTAAAAGGAAAAAATGGCTAATTAGGGGTAAATCATATTTAAATATCAAACTGAATTGAGTGATTAACAGATGAGATCAATTTTGCTAGTAAAACTTGTAAATTTATATATATTGGCTATGAAATTCTTGTCAGATATGTGATTTGGAAATATCTTCTATTTTGTGGGTTGTTTCTGAATAAACATAAACTTGGCTTTTCATAAGATCTGGCTTATGTAGAAATCTGTACTATCAACTTAAACTTAAGTAGTTGGTTTTTGAAAGTTATCTTCAAATTAAAGTATAACAGTATTCCTTATAAAATTGATTTTATTTTTTAAAAGCATTCATATTATTAGATAAATATATCTTTAAAAATACCATCTGTACAGAAAAAGAGCAGGTCCCAGTCAGAATGGGTCACTCTGGGTTCTGCCACTTGGTGAGAGGCCTCCCCGTGGATCACTCCTCCTGCCCGCACCCAGGAAGTCGTAGGCCTGCTCCGAGAGGTCGAAAGGCTCATGGACTCCGTCCTTGGACAGCAGGGCCTGCAGGGCACCCTGGTTCTCCTGGGTTTGCTTGAGGAAGTCAGCGATGATTTTCCACCGCGCAGCCTCTGTCTCCTCTTCGGCCCACCGGAAGGGGGGCAGCAGCGTGGAGTGCAGCAGCGGGAGCACACGGTCGTGGTAGACCAGGAGGAAGCTGGCCTTCAGGAGCTCTCTGTCCCTCTGGGGAAACAGCGGCACCCAGCAAGAGTAACCGTGGGTGGAACACATCATTACACTTAAGCAGGAGATTCTGATCCTTGTTAGTTAAAAGCCACCTGCAAGGCGCCATGGGAGAGGTGCCCTTTGTGCCTGACAGCTAAAAAGCCACCCCAGAGCACAGCCGGGGGGTTCCCTGAGACAGTCTCCCAGTGTCTCCTTGAGTGTCACACACTCTCAGGAGACCACAGCATTGCCATCTAACGCTGGTGACAAATGTGTGGTTCTGCTAAGACGCAGAGCAAGGTCAGCTGTGTCTACTTAGCCCAGTGACAGCATAGTAGAGACAACTGTCTGGCTTCTGTAATGGAGGGACAGATGTACACATGGGGTCCAGAGAAAGGAGATCCAGGAGGTAAGGATTTGGTAGAATTCTAGCAGTGCCTGGGCTGGGAAGCGGGGGTCCTGTGGTCCAGAGGGCACCAGAGCCTCCCTGTATCAAGAGGATCCACCCAGCCCCGAGGCCATCAGGCCATGGTCGGGGCACAAGGGGCACAATGGCCGAGGGCAGAGCAATCCGTATGCAGCGCTCTCCACACAAACACTGCCCTGACAACACTGAGGTACTGCAGCCTGCCTTTTAGCAAAGGTCGTGTGCCAGCTGTGGGAAAGGTCATATAGCAAAGGGAAGCCCAAGTAAGCTGTATAAATAAGTCTGTGGTATATTTATATGCTGTGTAAATAAGTCTATGGGATATAGCACCCCCAGCAGTCAGAGTTTTCGGTTTGCTTGTTCTCGCACAACCCTTACTTAGATCAACACTTCAGATAACCAGCACTTTAGATCAGGAAATGGCAAACAGGACCACGGGGAAATGCGTCTGTGTGTACACAGGGCCTCAGAGGTCCCAGGCCAGCCTCAGTCACTTGTATCCTGGCGGCAGAGGACAGTGCTTGTCGCCAGATGTGTGGCCCGCAGGGTGAAATATTTACCACCCGGCCCTTTACAGAAGTCGCCTGCTGATCTTGGGTCAGCGCAGTTGAACCGCTGCTCACAGATCCATGCGACTTCTGTGATAATCACAGTTCTTCTAAGTGACACGAGCGGACCCAGGCACTTGTGAGTATGGGACACAGCCCAGGCCAAACTCATCTTTCCTTGTCCCCATGTGATTTAGTTGTTGGGAGTTGGAGGGAACATTTTTTTAAAAATCAGGGATATGTGATAGCCAGGGTCTTTTTCATAGCTCAGGCTGGCCTTGAACTTCTATGTAGCTAGCCCAGGCTGACCTTCACCTTGCAGCAATCCTCCTGCCTCAGCTAGAATTATAGATGTATGCTGCCACACCCTGCTGAAAACAAACTTGTCCAACAGATAGAAATTTCTGAGTCGACCCAGCATAATCCAAAGGGGTCTTCAAGAGGCAAAGGGAGGGGCCTGGGGATTTAGCTCAGCGGCATAAGCACCTGCCTTGCAAGCAGGCAGTCGTGAGTTCGATCCCCAGTACCGATAAAAATGAAAAAGAAGCAAAGGGAGGCTAAGAGCTCAGAGTCACCGTGGTGGGATGGGAGAGGACCTTGACTGTTACTGCCAGCTCTGAAGTTGAGGAAAGTGGACAGAATCCACAAGTCCCTCCAGAAACTGGAGGCAGGAGGAAGTGGATTTTCCACTGGACCTGCAGAAAGGAAGGCAGCCTGGCCATACCATGTCTTTAGCTCAGGAAGACCCTTGCCAGATCCAGACCTACAAAACTGAAGGGACACTGTTTCTTTAGGTTATCAAGCTTGTGGTGTCACCAGAGTCTCCACAGACCATCCAGTCTTCATTACTTGGTGGTTGGCATGGTCTGTGTCTGACCACAGAGTCCCTTTCTCCACTAGGTGACTGCTGGGTGCCCAGAAGGTGCTTTGCTTGATAAATGATGCAAACCTGATGGCATGAAGAATCAAGGGACCCACGTTTGGTGATTTCTCCATGTGATGTTTCCTCCCACTTTTCTGTGGTGCAGGGTACAGAACCAGGGCCCTCACACACGCTCTAGTCAGGCACCCTGACACTGAGACACACTCCCAGACTCCCCTCCTCAAGTTTTAATTGGCAGGATCAAAATTTGTCTATATTTATGATTGGTAACATGCTACTTGTTTTGTTCCTTGGATTTTTGAGACACTTTTGCTCTGTAGTTCAGGCTGTCCTTGAACCCACAGCATTCTTCTTGCTTCAGCCTCCCACGAGCTGGGAATAGCGGTGTGTGCCACATCGCCCAGTCTGTCACATATTTTGATATGTGTACACACTGCAGAACAGCTAAACTGAGCTAATTCATGTGTGTTATCGCTTGGGGTTATTTTTTCTTCGTGATGACAACTCTTAAGTCAACTGAACCCTTTTTGCTTTTTAAGAATGGTTTTTGTTTTATATCACAATGTTTAAAAAGACTGCGCGCAAGGTAAGGAGCGGGAGACTGAGGCAGGAAGGTTGGAGCTGGCAGAATTCTACAAGAAATACAAAGAAGACCTAATGCCGACAGTCCTCAAACTATTCAATGAAATTGAAAGGGAAGCAATCCTTCCTAAGTCATTCCTGGAAGCAAATATCACTCTAGTACCAAAACCTGAGAAAGACCCAACTAAAAAAGAGAACTATAGACCGATCTCCCTAATGAACACAGATGAAAAAATCCTCAATAAAATATTGGCAAATAGGATCCAGCAAATCATCAAGAAGATTATACACCATGACCAAGTGGGATTCATCCCAGGAATGCAAGGATGGTTCAACATACGCAAATCAATAAATGTAATCCACCATATCAATAAAGCCAAAAATAAGAATCACATGATCATTTCTATAGATGCAGAAAAAGCCTTTGATAAGGTCCAACATTTATTCATGATAAAAACTCTACAGAAAATTGGAATAGATGGTCTTTACCTCAATATAATAAAGGCCATTTATGACAAACCAACAGCCAGCATCATACTAAATGGCCAAAAATTGAAAGCCTTTACTTTAAAATCAGGCACAAGACAAGGATGTCCTTTATCACCACTCCTATTTAATATAGTACTGGAAGTACTAGCCAGAGCAATTAGGCAAGAAAGAGAAATAAAAGGGGTAAAGATAGGAAAAGAAGAAGTTAAGTTGTCATTGTTTGCAGATGACATGATACTCTACATAGAAGACCCCCTAAGCTCCATTGAAAGACTCTTAGATACAATAAATAAATTCAGTAATGTGGCTGGATACAAAATCAATACTCAGAAATCAATAGCATTCCTATACACAAACAACAAAACCACAGAGAGGGAAATAAGGGAAACTGGACTATTCACATTAGCAAGCAAAAAAATGAAATATTTAGGAATTACTCTTACGAAAGAAGTGAAAGACTTATACAGTGAAAACTATATTACACTGAAAAAGAAAATTGAAGATGATCTCAGAAAATGGAAAGACATCCCTTGCTCATGGATAGGAAGAACAAACATTGTGAAGATGGCCATTCTCCCAAAACTCTTATACAGATTCAATGCAATCCCAATAGAAATACCATCAACATACCTTATAGATCTAGAGAAATCACTCCTAAATTTCATCTGGAACCAGAAGAGACCTAGAATCGCAAAAGCAATTCTAAGCAGCAAAGACAAAGCAGGAGGCATCACAATCCCTGACTTGAAATTATACTACAAAGCAACAGTAGTAAAATCAACATGGTATTGGAATCAAAACAGAGCTGAAGATCAATGGAATAGATTAGAAGATACAACCACAACTACAAACACACTCAACCACCTTATCTTCGATAAAGGAGCCAAGCAGGTTCACTGGAAGAACGACAGTCTCTTTAATAAATGGTGCTGGAAAAACTGGCTCTCCATTTGCCGAAAACTAAAGCTAGACCCATGTCTATCACCATGTACTAAATTAAAATCTAAATGGGTCAAAGATCTGAATATTAAAACAGAAACGCTAAATCTATTGGAAGACAAATTGGGTAGAAACCTTGGAGACATAGGAGTAGGTAGAGAATTCATGAATAGGACTCAAACTGCATGGGAAATACTTCCCAGAATCAATAACTGGGACCACTTCTTATTAAAAAGTTTTTGCATGTCAAAAGAAATCTCCAGCATAGTGAAAAGAAAACCCACAAACTGGGAAAAGATTTTAGTGAACTCTCTCTCAGACAAGGGACTCTTGTCTAAAACATATAAAGAATTAAAAAAACTCAGACCTTCAAAATTCAAAGATCCAATCCAAAAATGGGCATCTGTGATGAATACGCAATTCTCAGATGAAGAAATGCAAATGGCAAATAAATACATGAAAAAATGCTCATCATCATTGGTCATTAGAGAAATGCAAATTAAAACCACACTGAGATACCATCTCACTCCTGAAAGAATGGCCAGGATCAAGAAAACCAACAACAACAAATGCTGGAGAGGCTGTGGGGAAAAAGGAACTCTCCTGCACTGTTGGTGGGAGTGTAGACTGGTACAGCCTTTGTGGAGGTCTGTCTGGAGGTTTCTCAAAAAGTTGGGATTGGAAATCCCATTTATTCCAGCTATTCCACTTCTAGGCATATTCCCAGAAGAACTGAAAGCATCATACCACAGGGATATATGTGCACCTATGTTTATAGCAGCACAATTTGTAATCGCCAGATCTTGGAAACAACCCAAGTGTCCATCAACTGAGGAATGGATAAAAAAGTTGTGGTATTTCTATACAATGGAGTATTATTCAGCTATAAAGAAGGATCGCATTGAGATATTTATCAATAAATGGGCGCAGCTTGAGACCATACTCATAAGTGAAATAAATCAATCTCGCATGTATGAATACCGAATAGTTTCCCTAATGTAAGTAATGATTCAAATATATAAAAATATGTGATAATCATGATTCCCCATTATGTGGCCTTGAAGCCTTATAAAATTTTCACTTATTAATTAGAAAGGCTTTACTCTGGGCTTTTTGATATGGAAATATTTGAAGCTATAGTATATGAAGTTTTATCCAAATATTTTAAGGAAAAAGACAGACACTATGGTAACTACTATTCTTTAAAAAAATTATTTAGCTATTTCTTATGTTTATTTTAATTAAGGGAAAAACTTAAAAAATTAGGATATATAGTAGTAACTCTTTTTGATCTCCTATTAACTTGTTTTGAAGTCCTGTAATACTCCCAAGATCTTGTTTTGACTGATTAGACTCTGTTCCATTCTGTGCGATAGTAGCAAGTTTGAAGGTATAAGCAACTAATTTGAAGGCAATAAGATTCACAAAGATGCCCATTCTGGTTTGACTATTGTCTCCTTTGGAAGTCCTGTAATGTTCACAATGCCTACGTTTTATTGGTCTTGTTCTCCACTGTTTTGTCCGGCTTTATAATATCTAATGAGATGGACAATTCCTTTTAAGGAAACAAGAGACAATGTTGATAACCATTGTTGATGACCTTGTACTCTGTTCTACATCATGTGCTATGTCTATCCTTGGTTTTGACTTACAGCTTTGTTTTGCCATATTTGACTTTATTCTCTCCCCCCCAAAAAAGTAATAAGAACTAAGGAGTAATAAAATCCAAAATGTGTAAATTTTGTTATAAAAAAGAGAGGGAGGGGAAAAAAAAGAGCTCTAACGGATATAACAACAAGTGTGTTTAGGGATGTTAAATAGCTGACTATATTAATGTTTTTGGATCATTGAACACAGCTGTTTGCAGTCTCTCTGTTTGAATGTCTACTTTGTATTCTTTGATACTGTGATTTGAGCAACTATTTCCAAGATGATATTATGTAATCTATTAACAGGTGATTTCTTACTGTTATGTTTTTTTTTTTTGTAGTTCTGTATTATGTGTAACCTTACACTGCTTTGTTTTGTTTTGTGTTTTTCTCTTTTTCCTCTTAAATAAAAAAAAAAAAAAAAGGAAGGTTGGAGCTGGCCAGGGGCCACCCGCCAAATGTCACCCGGGGGTGGGCGTGGCCGGGGGCAAAGCTTCAGCGCTTGGCTGGCGGTTGGTCCTGCGCTGGCGGTTGGTCCTGCTCGCGGCTAGCAGGACCCCCTAGGTCTCGAGGGACGGATTCTAAACCACTGCACATCGCCCAGGAGACCCCAGTGATGGCACTGTGGACTCGCCTGTATGGCCGCGTCCTGGAAAGCTCTAGGGTAAGTGGGGCCAGAACTTGTACAGCACCCGGTGAGGTGCTAGAAATCATCGTGGTCAGGTGTGCGGTCGCGGGGATCTCTTGCTGGAGGGTCGCACCTGCCTGGGGTACTACTCTGGAAGTCTTCAGCGATCCCTGTCGCCCTCATTAGGCCCGTCTGTCTATGTGACACAATAGCCTCTCATGATCGTACCTCTTACCTTTCCTTCCTAACCATTCTCCACTGTACTGACCTGCTGTATTTCCATTGTGAAGCCTTCTTTTTTTTTTTTTTTTGAGCTGTAAACTTAAGTTAGGTTGACTGAACAGCCACTGCAGTCCTTGAAAAACATCTCTCTTAAAAAAAAAAAAAAAAAAAAAAAAAAAAAGAAAAACATCTCTCTTGAGCCATAGCAAATCCAATTCCTTTCTGTGTTCACTAAATTAAGCCCAAGAATTCAGGCAGGCCTTCCCAGGAGCTGACTGCACACAGTCAATAAGATGTAAGATGTAAGATGCCTGTTGGATTTTGTACTTGTCAGTTTTCCTGGCTGTATACTGCTTCTGTGCTTTTCCTGAAAAAGGATTGAGTGGAATGGGCCCCTACCAGGAAATAGAAAAAACTAGGTAACAGAAGCGCACTTGTTTTCAAAACTAAAAAGTTTGCTTTTGCAAACAAAACCTCACATGGTTTGCTCTATTCTTTATAGGAGAAATAAGTAGCTCTCTTTGGGCCTTACATCTTCCCAGCATTGTTGTCTTCTTTAGTGTCTTCATGTGGTGGCTTTCTGCATTTAATGGGTGCCTGGGTGTATCTTCACAGAGTATTTGCATCCAAAGAATAACAGATCTGTGAATAAAGAGATTGTCAGCTTTCCTTTATTAGCTACAGATACTCATAAAGTTGTAGATTTGTGGGAACCTGTATTTTCCGTATAATGACTAGTCCTGTGTTTTTGTTCCAAAATGATGTGTGAGGTGATGCCCACCATCAGTGAAGAAGGCCCTTCAGGAGGAAGTGAAAACCATGGATCTGGCTGCCCTTCACAACCAGATGCAGATTCCCATTTTGAACAGCACATGATGTCCATGCTAGAAGAAACATACATTGCTCAGAGCACACTGATAGAGACTCAAGAAACATTGGCGTTGACCCAGGGGAAATTGCTCGAGGTTGGTCATGAGAGAGATTCGTTGCAGAGACAACTCAATACTGCGCTTCCACAGGTATGTGTGGTTTTCACCTGAAACTACAGGTTTTTTCTGTTACGTGTCTTTCTGTGGTACCATCTTTTGTTTTTGTACCTGTATATTTTGTGTAACCAACCACTTGTCAAATGATAGTTCCTAGTGTTTGTAAGCGCATGCAGAGTTCCTGGGGATTCAGCTACTTAGGGCAAACAAACTAGTGTTCTGTAAAGTCATGTGAAAATATCTTACTACTTTCACTCTTCGCTGAGGAACTGCTAAAGATTTGGGAATGCACTTTGAAGGTTTTTTAAAAAGACTTGAAACAACAACCAAGCGGCATGGTCCTTGGTTTCTTTGATTCTGTTTTGTGAGATCTCTTGCTTAATGTAGGCTTCCCATGGCTTGTATCTCAGGAATTGTATGTGTGTTTAGGATTGTATCTCAAGGATTTGCAGTTTTCTAATGAAATTTGGTAGATAATAATTTTTTTTTTTGTTTTTGGTATCAGGAATCGAACTGAGGACCTTGCTCTTGCCAAGCAGATGCTTGTTGCTGCTGAGATATTATCTCTAGCCCTTGAAATTTGGTAGACAAGGATTGATTTCACAGAGAAAAATTTTTACAGACTATCTTTACAGAATACCGGTGTTTGTAAATCACATTTGTAATAAGGGATAGAAAACTGGAAATTTATTCTTTAGGAACTTTCTCCTTTTAGACTAGACTTCTAAGTTTAAAACAACTGGGCTGGGGATTTAGTTCAGCAGCATAAGCTTCTGCCTGGCAAGCATAAAGTCATGAGTTTGATCCCCAGTACCAAAAACAAATATATAAAAGTAAAAACCACCTCAAAGTTGGAAACAACTGTACTTCTTTCTTTAATTATATTACATTCAGCCCAGTATCTCAAAACTGCCTCTTGTGGAATTAAATGGAGACTGAATGGCATGTGAAGGGAGAACATAGTAAAACTAGAAAAATGTAAGGTAAATGGTACACAGCATAGTGGGAGATAAGTAGCTTATTATTTAGGTGTTTATAAGCCATCGAGTACCATTTTACTTGTTCATAATAGTTGCCTTTCTGGTCCATTCAGGTAGACCTGAATAAGCATACATCTATGCTGTCATGATGAGTCTGCAGTGATAAATCGGCAAATGAACACTAGCCCTAATGTATTTGTTGGCTATAGTCAATTCTCCTGAAAGATTAATAAGCCAAGCATTTGAATTTCCTTTTTAGAAACAATAATTTGATGTTAGTGCTATATGTTTCTTTTGTTGGTTAGAGAATCAGTAAATTGTTTGCTTTTGTGGAGCATAGGGTTGAAGGAGGGCTTCATTTGTGTTTGCCTAAGTGCTCTGTCACTGAGCTCCATCCCTCCTAGTCACATTAAGATTTTTCTCATTGGAATCTTATAAATGTCAGAGTTTATTTAGGTCAGATTTTACTATAGAAGATTATAAGAACTGGCCAACTTGTATTTGTGTAGGGAGGTAATGGGGAGCAGTTTATGTGAAGGATTTTATAGTATATACAGGTATTTGTAAATTTGTGATGGTTTAGTTTTGTTTTTGTAATATATTGACTATAATTTGAGATAGATCTACAGTTTATCTAATACATAGTTAATCTATTCAGTTTTTGGAAAAAACAGGCAGGCAGGACCTGAGAGGGAAGTGACAGGAGTTTTGTAGAGCTGGTTTCAGGCCGTGGGTGTTGTCACACCTGCTGATGAGGTGGTTGCCTGGTGATTTGTTTCTGGGGGGTTCTCAGTGTAGCAGCCTGGAAATGCTTAGTTTAGTGCATAATGTGATGATGCCACCAGGTCCCGTCACCATCTGAGCACCTGATGCAGCATTTCAGAAACACAGAAACCATGAAACAAACTTGTTTTGGTCCTTTTCCTTTCCTGGAATCAGGCTCGTCTTTGGTAGTTGTTTGACTAGAGAGGCCTGTCAAGTAAGTGCCCGGTGTACTTTTGGCACATTAGGTAGGCAGGTCAGAATGTGCCCTACTTCTAAAAATTGAAGTAAAAGGCTGGGCATGGTAGTGCATTCCTGGAATCTTCAACCCTTAGGGAGGCCAAGGCAGGAGGATCAGAAATTTGAGCCCAGCCTGAGAAACTTAGCAGTTGTCTTAAATAAAAAATAAAAAGAGAGCAGAGAATGCTCCTCAGAATGAAGGCCCCCAACTATAGCAAATATCAGAAATCTTCTCAGCGAATTTTCCATAGAGCCAACACACTTGAGAAACAGTTCCTACATCAAAATGAAACACTGGAAGCCCCTGCCTAGTTTCCAGTACAGGTGTTTCTCATTTAATTACCTGCTTAACAACTGTTTGGACTTCCCTGCTGCTCAGACTTATGCCTCCTCTTTTTTTATTTTTTGTAAAGTTCTGCACATCTGGTTCAGAGACTCTCAATGGTTTTTTTTTTTTTTAGTTTGTAATGTTTATACAGTACTATACTTTTTCTGATGGTACTCTATGATACTGTAGTTTTATGTTCTGTTGTACATTATATACTGCATAGAAGTTGTGCAAATAAAGGCAAAGTCATCAAGTTGGAGTTTCCTTTGACCATTTCTTTGTGCTGAGTGTTGTAATGTATGTACTATATACAGCTCCTCATTTAGCAACTAATTCTTTTAACGCTGTACTGACAGGAATAGGACTTGGTGGTTAAATGAGGAATCCTTGTACCTTTCCTCCAATTCTAACAATGGTCTTGATCTCTCACCATTGATTATTTTTGCTTCTTCTTGACTAAATGAAGTAAAATAGTACCTATATTGTGTTTCTTGGTTGTTTCATTGTTCATGAGATTTACCTGTGTCCTATATTTTTTGCCTATTCTCATCTGTTGTCTGGTAATCCAGCATACCAATATATCAAAATTTGTTCTTTTCTATTCATGAACATTCAGGTTGATTCCAGTTTTTATCAATTCTATCCTGAGTATTCTTGTGTATTATTTCTTTTGTGTATGAGAGTGAAGCTATGGCTGAGCATGGCGACATATGCCTATAAACTCAGCAGGGCAGAATGTTGAGGCAAGAAGACTGCGAGTTTGCGCCCCTCTTGGGCTTTATACTGAGAACCTGTCTTTTTTGGGGGGGAGGTAATGGGACTTGAACTCAGGACGCTGTGTTGCCAAACAGGAGTTGTGCCACTAAGCTATATCCCTGGCCCTCGGATCCTTTAAAAAAAAAAAAAAAAAAAGCAGAGAACTGTGGAGTGATAGATATCCCATGCATTTGTTCAGCCTTAAGAGATATTGCTAAAAGTGGCATTGTACTGACACCAACAGCATGTGAGAAGTCAGTGCGCATATCATCTTTACCCCTGACACTGTTCATTCTTTTTTTTTTTTTTTTAAACTGGTACCAGGGCTCGAACTCATGACCACCTGCTTCAAGGCAGGCACTTATGCTGCTGAGCTAAATCCCCAGCCCCCATTGTTTATTCTTTTATGTTAGCTTTTCTGGTGCCTACTTAATGGGAGAGGTGACTTAGTGAGAGAGGTACCAGAGATCGAACTCACGACTACTGCTTGCAAGGCAGGTGCTTTTGCCACTGAGCTAAATGCCCAGCCCCTTATCATGTATTTCATGTATTTCTTTAGCATTTCTACTTCTTCATCTGAGAAGGGTCTGTTCATTTTTGATGCCCATTTTTTGAATTTGGGGGTGGTTCTGTATTTTTGAGCTCCTTATATATTTTAGGCATTAATCCTTTGTCTGAGGAACAGCTGGCAAAAATGTTTTACCATCGCGTGGGTTGTCTCTGCACTCTCTTGGTAGTTTCTCTTGCTTTTCAAAAGATTTTGAATAAGATGCAGTCCAAGTTGTTGATTATTTCTGATAGAAGCTTTGCAATTGGGGTTTTTTTCCATGAGATCTTTGCCTATACCAAAGTCTTCAGTTCTACCTGTCTTCCAGCAGATTGGAGTTGTTTCTATTTTCATATTGAAGTCTTTGAGCTATTTGGATTTTAGCTTAATGCCTGGGAAGGGATATGGGTCTAGTTGTAATCTTTGGCATGTGGAAAGCCAGTTTTTTCCAGCACCATTTCTTAAAGAAGCTATCTTTCTTCCAGTGAGTATGTTTGGCTCCTTTGTCAAAGATAAGATGATTGAGTATGCTGGAGTTGTTTCTACATCTTAAAATCTGTTCCATTGATCCTTGAGTCTGGTTGTTTTGTTTTGTTTTGTTTTGTTTTGCCAGTTTTTATCACAATAACTTTGTAGTATAATTTGCAGTCAAGGATTGATTGGATTCCTTTCTGGTTTTGGTATCAGGATAATACATGCTTCCAGGAATGAATTTGGGAGTATGGCTTCTCTTCAATTTCTTAAAAGAGACTGAAGTAGTAGTATTAGGTTTTCTCTAAATTTCTTGTGGTGTTCAGCAGTGAATCTGTCAGGGCCTAGGGTTTTCTTTATTGATGGGTTTTTAATTACATCTTCACTTTCACTGACAGATACTGATTTATTTAGAATTTTTATACCTTCTTGATTCAGCTGTGGTAATTCATATGTAACTAGGAATCTGTCTATTTCTTCTTTGTTTTCTATCTTACAATACACATTCTGAAAGTAGGTTTGATTTTGAGGATCTTCTGAATATCTGTAGGGCTTCTTGTGATTTCCACCTTTTGATTCCCAATTGTATGTGTTTGGGTCTTTTTTGTTTTTAATAAGGTTGGCTGAGAGTTTGTCAAGTTCATTTAATGTAACACAGAACTCTTTGTTTCATTGATTCTTTGTATTATTTTGTTAGTCTCCATTGCTTTAACTTCTGCTCTGTTCTCTATAACATCCTCCTTTTTACAAGCTTTAGGCATGACCTGCCCTTGATCTAAAAGCTTGAGGTTCAACAGTAGGTTATTTGAGCTTGCTCTGTTTTTCAGCTATGGGTATTCAGTGCTGTAAATTTCCCTCCTAGGACTGCTTTCATTGTGTTCCTTATGTTCTGTTACAATGTATTGGCATTATCATTTAATTATAGATACTATTTAATTTCATCTATAAC